TTCTTTCTATGATACTACCCTTGGCTTATTTGGCCTAGATGGGTATGTGCTGCTGAGTTAGGGTGGTGGCCATTTTACCCTTTAGAGTTTTGAACAAGGTGTCTGATTGGGTTGTGAAGGTTGAAGAAGAAGCGGTCAATAGAGTACAGTCTATTGGTACCACCATTTTTCCCCCAAGTTTTGCCATGTTTCTAAGTTTAAAAGCTACCTTAATTCTGTATGCTAAAGGAAATGAATCAGGATTATAAAAGGTCTCTTGGCTTAAAAAGGGTTGGGAAATGCACAATGTGTCCTACTACCCATACTTTCTTTCAGTGTAAGCCCCAGGGAGGTGATCTCACATTTTAATTCCCTTTTACCACTTGTTGTAACAGCAAAGTCAGTGAAGGTTTATGGTCTCTGAAAAATATTTCTGCCAGCCTCAACACAAGTTTCTAACTGTTATTGTTGACTGCAAATAATATTACCTTAATAACCATTTTACATTTTTTTTCCAAAGCATCCTATAGTGTTTTCAATATCCACTAGTACAAGGCAATTTTTAAGTTGAGAGGGTTTACTTTGATTTGATTAACAGTAAACTACATTTTTACACAGACACAAACTAACCTGGCGGGTTGATGTCCAAAGGTGTAAAACATTACATGCAACTATATGGCAAAAACTGATCTCAGTGGCCAAAGGAAAGGCAAAAATAGAAATGTAACCATTTTTTTTAATTTTATAAATTCCCTTTGACACATATTTAGCCAGATGTAGTCCTTGTCAAAACATGCAAACTTGAACATTTATTTCCTGACCTTAGCTAATCTTTTTTAAACCAAACTCTTGTTCCAGTAGGTAGTGTAGATTTTGGAATAAAATATTTATAATGCAACAAAACAAAAACCAATTGAACGAGGACTCAAACTGTACTGAAGGCAGTGTAGTAACTGCTGTCATGAAAAGAGAATTCCAAACACACAAAATAATTACCCTCTCATTTGCCTATATTCATTTCTTAGAAACTACGGTAAAGTTTAAATAAAATCACACGAAGATAAGAACTTAAGCATATCAAGAGTGAATGATCTCTTGGCAAAATTTATTTAGCTTTTAGTACATAATAAAATACATGAACTACGAGATTTGACCATATGCCACTCAATCATCCAACGCAACTCTGCCAGGATACGTTCACAATCAGGGATCAAGAATTAAGAATCTTTTCGTCTTAAAGGTGTAATAAAACCGTAAACAACTCTGACAACTCTTCTACTTGACCACGGCCACCGCGCTTTTTTTAAAATCACGAAGGATTAATTTTCGGCCTTTCATTTGAAAATATAAACTCTTCAGACATACGCATTGGAGAGTTGGCCCTTCTTCTAGTCTTGTGTGTCTTCTAAACAGAAACACAACTTGAAAGCCTGTAGTGAGCCAAAAGGTCGGGCATCGAGGAACATGTACAATGGCTGTTCACTGGTCTCGTTCTTAGCGTAGTAAACCGCATGTAATGACAAACGCAAGACCAGAAGAAAGGAAAACGTAAGCTCCACATTACTGCCGAAAAAAATAGGTTACAGCAAAGAAAGCAATGACAAACAGGACCAAAAGCGAATTCACTTCACACTGTCGAATCGCTGCGAAGACGAACTCCTTGGTGTTGTTGTTTCCCAGCCTGTTTCGCGCGTGCTCGCTACAGTTCTCGAATGATTGACAGATTTCTTAACTGGGGCGATCATGGAAAGCCGAAAAGCGGCAAGATCAGAGGCCGTTGCCAGCCCCCCCTGTCGCCAACTATGTATAAAGATTAATGTTAAATAAACAGTGTACTGCCTTACCTAGTATATATTGTTGTCTTTTTTCCTCCAAAAAGGTATTTTCAGCGATTTTGACTGATTTTGAGTTCGCCTGGCCCTGGATGACTGCGTAAAAAGTAAAGAAAAAAAGGAGTTACCAAATGAGCCATTTTGCCAAGTCTATAGTCTGAACTTTAACGACAAGATCCTGAGTGGTCAGCTCATAAAGTCACTAACAAAAGATCGGGATCGGGTTGTTACAAGTACTTACCGTTTTAGAAATCGTCCGGTTTTGTTGGGTTCGCACTTAACAATTAATGACTGTACTGTTAGATTGTTCGCCTACACGAGTGAAAAAGACAAAAAAGATAGTTAAAGCATAACAAAGAACTCTTTAAAGAAGAAGTCGGATACGATTTGTTTGAAATACTCTTTATCTGGCAGCCAAAATTTTCTCGTAATAGGTTTTTGAAATCAGTGATTACCTAACACAAGCCGTGTTATCTTAGCTAGTACATAATTCCTAACCCTTCATTGATTATCTAACTCAAAGCGAGGAAATTTGTTTTTGTCTTATGTGTTGGACTGAGAAAGATATATAGTCGTAAATTCATTGAAGTAAGTTTTAAGAATTTCAAGGAAAGAGAAAGATGGTGTTATTGCTAAGGGGAGCCGGAGGTGTTGTTACAGGCACTTGCGTTTTAAAATCATTTCGTTTTCGGTCCGCACGTTTTTCCCGTGTAGCCCTAGTACTTAAACCGTGACCGTTTTTTGCATTACTTACTACTTGAAGAAAATCTGGTGGGCGGGTACTCCTGGGGATTCTTGGTGGGGGTGAGCCGCCCAGTTCTTTAACTCCTGGCCTTATTTCAAACCAAAAAAATTTGTCATTTTCCACGCCCTTTTTCAATCCTGGCCTCCAGGCAGAAATTATGTCATAGAATTCGCAAATATTTCTTTTTCTTTCTTATTCATTAATTTGGAATTGAAACGACAAATACGTTCTTACGCGACGTTTTTTCCCTCGAATACCATAGCCAATTCCAAACCAAAATGAGCAAAGTGTATGCCAGTTTTTAGACCGAAAAAGCGCAAAAACCATATCCTTTGGGGTGGCACATACCTATGTGGCTTACAGTGTATTTAAGGATATATTCCCCGGGAAAAAATCCAAGTATCTTAAAAATTTGTCCGCGGGCCTGGGTGCCCTCTAAATGCTTCGTTTGGCCGAGACATGCACTTTGAAAAGGAAAGAATTGATTTGAAGGGATCACACTGAACCAAACAGTACAAAGGTAAATACAAATTTGGACGACTCTCGTCAGTAAACGAAAAGGAAATGATTTTCATTTTAGCAAACATGGTTGCAGACTAATATAAGAAGGGAACTTGTCGCTTTTGTTGCTTTTTATTCTCAAACACCCATGCCCCATTTTCCTCTCATGTGTTTAACTTTTAAAAAAAACATTGAAGTTAATATATAGGTAATAACAACTTTATAAAGCAGTCTGTTTTCTCATTGGGATATATAATGCTCGTAAAACTAATTAGTATATTGCCTAATGTAAAATCGCTCAGGAGCAAATTTTGTCCAGAGAAAATCAATCATACTTCAACTCGTTACCGGGTCTAACATAACTAAGTTGTAGTAACCTCAGGTATCCTACAAAAAAACTGACAAGTTTTCTATCACCACATTAAAATCATTTTTTTCCTTCTGTCAGCTTATGATTGTCCTGGTTAAGGTGACTTTTTACGTGGATAGTTACCTCTACAAATCTCTTGCTGTTTTTCTACCATAAGCTGATAACTCTCTTCGTTACGTTCAATGCCTCATCCCTCAACCATGCACTGAATTTTAGTTCTCAAAACTGAGGGAAAAGAAAAAGGAAAAACAAACAACTGTCGATTAAAATAAACACTCTGAAAGGTTTCAGTTGAGAAAGAAGTTCACAGTCTAAATAGTGTGCACTTGGCAGCTCTTGGGCAATTCGTTCAGACAAGAGAAAGGCAAGAGATATAGCGATAGCTGTTGCACTTACACTTTCAAATCATTTCTATATTGATTCGCGAGTTGAATTTCTCTGTGTTGTTGGTACAGTTTTAATGTTATACCATGCACCTTGCGATAGAGCGAACAGTTTTAGCAGCAGTAACTTTCATCAGGTATCGTTAAACTCAAGCGATCCATGATCGTTCAGGAGCTAGGAGCTCGAAACTACGATGCCGTTAGGAAATTTCAAAAATCATTTTGGGGTTATTTGCGCATGGGTGAATATAGATGACTCATTATTCTACTTTGGTTCTCGTAAAAAAATGATGAGAATCCAATTCACTGAAAACACCTGTGAAGTATAATGATTTACATATTTGTTCCTTTTTTAGCGTAACGGATTGCGATCAGAACTACATGCAAATGATAAACCTTAAGAAACTTCCCGAGTATTGGCCATTTCAAATCATTCAAAATTTTCGTAATAGTTCCAGGAGTTGTGCTATATTCATTTTTTAAAAAACGTGCCGATCGTCTCTGCGCACTCTCAATGTCCTTTATTTGTTTTTGAATGTGCGGATCCCATGCGCAACATACATGTATTCAAGTTGTGGTTTAACTATTAAAAGTAAGATAGGCTTGCTCTTTTACGTTTTCGTTTTCTGGACACTTACTTTAATAAGTTTCTTCTTATAACGCCAAGGGATCTGTTGGCCTTTTGCCATAATCCTAGCAATTTAGATCACTAGATTGCTCAACTCCAAGGAATTTGTGGTGATCGACAGCTTCCTAGGGTTCTCCGTGGATGGTGCATTGCACAGTATTTCCCATTTTTTTGGAACAACGATTGTTGATTGATGATTTGAAAACCAGCGACTATTTTGAGGGGCGCGGGTCAACCGGAAGTGGACTTTTTGCACTCTTGAGCGACGATTTTGAACAAATTTTTGGGCAAATCGTCTCTACAACAGAAAAGACTCTTAGCAATACAAATTTGGAAGCGTCAAGGCATATTAAAAGAGAATAAGGTTCAGTTCCGGTTTACGTGCGTCGTTCAAAAACGTCGTTGCTTATAAGCTATCCATCTTCCGGTGTTTTACAAAAGAATCTATATTTGGCTACACTATAGGAATCATATATGAAGTACCTCCCGCTCTTTGGGTGAGTCCGCTGACCAGGAATCTCGAACAGCCATTACATCTGATAACGAGAAGACACACGAGAAGATGACGTTTTGCGTGCTTCGTAGAAGCAGATCTTTTGCCAGCAAACTGCTTCTAACTGCAGCCGCAGCTTTAAGCGTTACTCCAAGAGTGACAATGGCTGAACTCTGCACAGATGGTGGAAAGTGCAACGATGAAGTGGAGAAGGCCAAACTTGCTGCTGAGGCTGCGGAGAAGTACAAGCCTGAGGACTCGATATTCATGAAGATCATTCGGAAAGAAATCCCTGCTGATATAGTGTACGAAGACGACAAGGTTTGTTCTCCTACTTTGTAATGGTCGTTTTAACATTTGTGGTCTTAAAGACTCAGAAGCTTTCGGGGTTGGGGGGCGGTGGTGGGTACTCCGTATTTCAAGGGCAGGATGATTAAATGGGGGCGAAAGTCAAAACAACAAAAGCCCCGGGGATACTGACAAAACTGAAAAATTCCCCAGACGAAAAATAGAATCCGCATAAAATCCCATCCTGAATTCCCATTCCTTGAATAAAGTTGATTAAAGCAAAAGGGAATTCCTGTCCAGGGCTCGAAGAAAGTCCATCGGAAAGTTTGGGACAAGTAGATTTTCTTGTGGGAAAAGTGACTTTTAAAGCTTATTTGCCCAATGAGCAAGGATCCAGGCAACTAATTAAATCATTAACAAAGCCATGCAAGAAGTGGCCCCAGGCAAGCGAACTGCTGTCGTGATATAACCGGGCAATAAACATGAAGAATAATGAGATATCAACTACATAATTGTGTTCTTGTTGAATACGTCCTGAGACACTTAATGGAGTATTTTATTACTGTTTTTTAGCCTGCATTGTAGATACTCTAAACCACCTGTACAGAGTGTCTGCAAATTTGTGCACATCATCGTGTTCAGAGAGTCGCAAGGACATATGTTGATGTTTTTGATTTGCTTGTCTCTTTTGCAGTTTGTGATTGGTCTGATTTGAAAAAAGTGTTGACAGGCCAAACATGATTCATAGTTTATAGTAGTGTGAAATGAGTGACCTTACAGTTAGCCTTTAATGAACAACAGAGAGACCCTGTTAAGGAATTCTGACAAGTGCTATGGGCTTGACTTAAGGCAAACAAAATGATGACAAACAGCATAAAGAAGGGTTGAAACTGTCTAATTTGGCCCATCTTGTTTTTCTTGAGATAAAGTGAGTCTTTGGACTGGAGTGTGATGTTCTTTAGTTTCTCTGTTGGTAATTCCTTTTGTTTTGGCTTTTAAGAACAGTTTATAATGGGCAGTGCATCTGCAGTGATTAGAAGACACTGGAAAATCAAGGACTGTCTGTAACACAGGAAAAAATAACGGATTCCCATTTTTGGATATTTTAGGGTATTTAAAGAATACCCATAAAAATCCCAAATTTGGCAAAGTGAGACAAGTCCCAACGAGGGAATTCCCAACCAAGTTCCCTGATTGGGACTTGTCTCACTCTTCCTAATTTGGGATTTTTGTGGGTATTGTTTAAATACCCTAAAATATCCAAAAATGGGAATCTGTTATTTTTTCCTGTGTAACCAGTTGGCAAATTGACAAACACATTTTGGCCTTCGAGGAATATTCTATCAAAGTATTTTCCTGTTCAGGAAGAATAAGGCTTTCAAGTTTGAACTGCTCTTTGCCAACTTTCGACCTGCCCGAATCCAACCATCATGCACTCATAAGAATTGGGCCAGTCGTGAAGTGCGTAAGAAACCCTCTTATCACAAATGCTCTATCTAATACAGCTGTGGTAGTAATTTTGCCAAATCTTTGTTAATAGCCAGGTAGTTTATGTATAAACTTGGGAGGTATTGACCCTGAAAACCCCTATCCAGCCACCTTAATATTTTATTTTTCTGACTTTCTGTCATCCCTGCTTTTTTCACTTTCCTTCCCCCATTGTTGTCGTCATTGTTGTTTTTTGGGAGGGGGGCAGGGAGAAGGTGTGATTACTAGGCTTCATTTCATTGGGAAAAGTGGTTGCAAAGGCCCCCAGGATCATGAAATTGTTTTCAAAAAAATGTACATGGATGCTGAAAGATGAGTTTCATGGGATTTTTCCTGTTTAAGGTACCTGTTTTTGCATTTTTCTCTGGCATTTGTTGGCTGTGATCTTTTACCCTTGTGCAATAATTTTTGTATACCCCTTAAACTTAATGATGTGAGAAGTTGTACCAGGTTTGCATGAGTGGTTACTGGGATTTGAGGTGTGAGTGTTTTCTTAAGACAATATTTTTCCATTCATTGAAAAAAATTAATACCAGTGTAAAATTGTGAAAGTCCTGATTGTTTGTTAGTGAAACATTTTTTGTTGCGATCATTTTCGAACCTTGTTCAGATGACATTATTTAAACTGAATGAGACAATAGGCCATTTGCATGATGGTGTGATGTTACTACTACGACCAGAATCCGAAGTTGTGTTTCAGGGCTGCAAATAACGGCCGGTCAACGGACAATGTCCGGCCTGATCGCTGACTTGACCGGTCAAACTCCGGTCTTGCCGGTCATTTTGACCGGTCATTTTGGATACAAACACTTTATTTTTCATACAGTTGTCGCTGAATGCTCTATAACGCTGCAATGATTTCTTTTTTCTTTGGCGGTTTTTTGCTGCTTTGCACTAAACCCTTCTAAGAAAAAGAACGCCGCAATAAATTAATTTCATGTCGTCATGTTGTAATCTAATGCAACAAAGTGAATAACAAACTGAGTTGGAAAGTAACGCAACGTTGCAAGTCATACTGTACTTTCGGCTTTGCTGTAATCAGCAATGTGACCTTTGGGAATTCGAAGGAATTCAGGCAAATCGATCGCAATTCTCAACAGGTCGTCCTGTGTTTCTCCGGGAATAAAGGTTAGCACATCGATTAATAATAATTTCTTTTACGTCGAACATGAATCTCGTTTGCAGACACGATTCCAGAATGGTCTGATAAAAATTTAAGCTACTCAAGAGGGAAGGTCGTTGTCTATCGCGGCGCTAGATTCTCGTTCTTGTAAACAACTTTATGCAAATTTCTGTTGACATTTGAGCCCTTCGCGATAAAATGTTGCGCGATGACCCAAATTTATTTGTTGACTTCTGATCATCAACACGCTGTTTGTGGAACAAACTTCTCGCCAATGCAAATCAACTTCTTTGCCGAAAATATCAGTGACGATTCTTCTTTGAGGAAGTGACTTTCGATCACGTGCCAGGCAAGGAAAAAAATCAAGTTTCACCGATGTTCATTTCGGAACATCAACGTAAAACAAACGTGTGCAGATTTTGTAAAATAACCCAATTTTTTTGTTTTTTTTTTTTCCCGTAATTTCTGAAGTTTGCTGAACTGTATGTGTATTCCGTTTCCTGAACCTTGGGAGTTTGAAAAGGATTTACGCTTCACTTTTTACCTCTAGAGACTTCAGACGCCGCCGTGCAATGATACTCAAGGTAGAATGTAACATTAAAACGCGCGAAAACCGCGGAAAGGAACTCTACAACGTGCGAATGCATTTTTCACCAATTTGCTGTCAAAAATGTGAACGTCAATGTAGTAATAATGATCTATTGCCAGCATAATTGGATATTCCTTAGGCAAAAAAAAATTATTAGTATTCATTATTTGACCGGCCAGAATCGGGGTTTGTCCGGGCTAAATAATATTTGGCCGGTCATCATGACCGGCAACCTGCTGTCCGTTATTTGCAGCCCTGTTTTTGCTTTCTTGTACAAATTAGGGCTTTTGTTATTTAAACCTCGCTGGGATGACCAAATTTAAATGTGAAAAGAAAAATGAAAGGAATTCTGGTTGTAGTACAGGGCTTGAAATAACGGCCGGTCATCGGACAATGTCCGGTCAGAATCGAGCATTGTCCGAGCAAATCCGTGGATGACCGGACATGTTGTCCGGTCATTTGGGCTTTCAAAGAAAATTCAATTTTGAGACAATCATGATGGAAATTTATTCAATCTTATCATGTTCCCAAAAAAGATATTAACTAGAGGGACTTTTGTTTGTGAAATTGATCACATTTCCTGTTGTCAGTCGCGACCGCAAATTGGCTACTGCTGTGCGTGTTGTAAAGTGCTCAAGATTGCACGCCCCGCTGCGCCGAAAATAACCCGCATAGCATCTGGTGCCAACAAGAGCAAAAAAAAGAAAGACCCAGAGTGACAGTATAATGAATTAGGCCACCCTCTTGCTCCAATAAAACTTCACAAATGTAACATTAAAATAAAAGGCTTTGAGTTTTAATGAAGTACCGTAAACATAAAAATAGAGTTTGTCTTTATTTCGCCCTGTCCGTAAATTTGTTGCGTATATATCACTAAACGACTAATTCACAAGGTTAACTCAACATTCATCACCCTGTTCTCTTTGAAATACATTATGTATAAGTTTTAACGCATTCAAATGCAAATGAATGCCCACTACCACGATTTTTTGTGCGAATGGCGATGTTACTTCGGCCAGCAGGTCGTGCCGAAGGATACGATTATTTTCATTGCGCAACGTGTAAGAGATGTAACGGAGAATTTACAAAATGTATATGACACTCAAAAGAAACGTTAACCAACAAAATTATATGAGCTGAAAGTTCATGCTCCCCATTCTAAAGACATTCTAAAATGCAATTCTATATGTAGACAAATGAGAAATGTATTTCTGGAAATCCTGAACAAAGTGCAAACAGTAAATAAATGAGAGATTGATTTATTGAACCAAACGATTTCACAAGTTTATTTGCCCGTTGAAATTATTTGTCGAAACAAAGCAGCATTTGCTAAAATGTAAATGTTGTACTATAAAGTTGAAGGTTACGTTTTGTTAGTGATTTGGTCAGGTTTCAACCAAACGTTAACGATGAGGTTGTGTCTTGCAATCCACGTGTCTGACTTACAATGTAACAGAAGAAAGAGTAATAAAACTACAACTTCTAATTTTTTGCACACTCGATTTGTTTTGAGCAACTAGAGTTGCTGTTGCTGAAAATGAGACAGATCATGTAACTTGCAAAATGGAGCCTCTATTGCAACTAGTTAAGATGGATTAAATTTTTGTCCGGCCAAAAATGCCTATGTCCGAGCAAAATCACGTTTGACCGGACAATGTGTCCGGCGCCTGCCCAATAGTTATTTCAAGCCCTGTAGTAGGAAAATGACACCATCCTGCAAATGGGGTATTTATTTTTCTTTGAGGTGGAGTGGGTACTTCTATAGCCATTATGAATGTGGCTATTTTCCCTTTGGTCAATATAATTTTTAAACTTTCAGTATGTTTTCTCGAATTTGTTACTCAGAATTGGGGTTTCACTGCCTTGTTTCTTCTTAGATGATACTAATGAGTCAGTTTTTGACTGACAGGCTGTTGCTTTTCGGGATGTCAATCCTGTTGCACCCAAACATATTCTGGTAATACCTCGAAAACCACTGATGCAGCTATCATCAAGCACTGAAGAAGACATTCCTGTATGTATATCCTTATCTCGCTGCTGTTAACTGATAAGCTTTACACAATGTACATGTAGGAGTATAAAATTTTAATCAATGTACTTTGTTGTTTATTGGGTTCTTTACCAGCTAGGATTGCAGTGTGGGCTATTCTACAAAGTGGCATATGTCACTACACTAACACACCAAAATATAGGTGTTGCACCTGACTAAAAAAGCAAAATGATGCTGATGTTATTAACTTAAGTGTTTGCTGAATTATTTTATGGAGATTGTTATAACAAGTACACATTATAAATTTTAGTGCATTCTTAGTTGGACAGAGGCATTTCATCCGTAAAGGCCAACTGGTTTTCATTAGCTAAAGGCTGAGTTCAGCAAATGACTTTTTGTATCATCTCTATCCTCGTGTGTAAAAAGAATTATCCATGGCTACTTGATCCTTTATTGTACCCACTTTTATTCCCTTTCAGCTTCTAGGTCATTTGATGTGGGTGGCAAAGAGTGTTGCAGAGAAAGAAAATCTGAATGAAAGTGGATATAGGCTAGGTAGGTAATCACTAACTCTTTTAATTAACCCTTTACAGGGACACAGTCAGCTGTGGGACCAAGCTGACCTGGACACTGCTTTTACCAGTTTGAAAAGCATTTACCTCAACCCAAAATCATATGTATGCGTCAGATGCATCTAGAAATCTGCTTTAATCTTGCCTAATGTTTCATTTGATCCTCGATCTTTTACTGAAAACCTCTTTTTGAACAAACTTTTACTCATCCTATAACATTATTTTATCATATTTGGTTAAACACAGTATCCAAAGGAACATGAAAAGAAGAGGTGGAAAACGTGTAGGCGCCCGGCAGGAGAAATCGCCTGCGTTGACCAAAATAACAAGCGAAAAGAATCAATTAACATTTCAGAGCAAATCATGGTTATAGGGGGGTGAATAGGGGTATGCAAATCCGCCGATCCGTGTTCTTTTTAGGCCCAATCCGTCTATCCGACTTAATTTTTGTTCAAATCCGAATCCGCGTTACTTTAAAAAGTTTTCGTGGTATATAGAAAGTAGCGTTGTAGCGTGAATAAATGGATTACTTAATATAGTTGTTATGTAATCGTAACAGATGCGGGACTTCATGTTTGAAAAGTTTTCGTTGTAGCTTCAAAACATTAAGCATTAGGGACAGAGCTTATAATGTTTCTTCCAACAATACAGATTTGACTAATCAAATAGTCTGCAAGCTTGCAAAATGAAAGTATCTGGTACTGCGTAAAAGATTTTTCAATAAATTTACTTACTGGCATCACTTTGGACATGCTTCTGGTCGAGCCGCAAAATTCTGAAGAGGCAGAACTCAACTTCATGGTAATTTGCTTACCAGTAAGTATTTTCCATGGTTCATCTTTTGCCATGTTTGCCCTCAACCAAGATGGCAGCAGAAACTGTTGAAAGGTCTATTAAGTTAACGATCAAGACAAGCAAACTAGCTGAAATAGCTTCGAAGAACATAATTTATATCAGTTCATGTATAAACCAAATATAAAACTTACTGAACATGCTCGCGTAACACTTCCCCACTGACTGGAATCGACGCAGCATCGAAACTTATTTTTTTTAATAAAGTCATCGCCTTTGGCACCTTTGTGGTAGAAAAAGGCTACACACTCGATAGTTCTAGTTTCCATTTTGCAATTTAGACAATTTACATGAACGCATTCACAGATCTTGTCAGGTCAATTAGCGTCACCACCATTACCTGAACCATGTGTCACCATGCAGGAACCATGCCCAAGGTTGCCTGACGTCATTTCTGTCATGCTGTCTATACTAGAATACATGTATATGATTCAGGTCACGAGAAAGTCTCTTCAGGAAACCTCGGAAGTGGAACGTTAGCCGACAAAACACCAGCACATTGACCAAGGCCGACCGAAAATTTGATGATCCGATCCACGATCCGAACTTCTAGACTGACAGAATCTGGAAAGCGGGCCAAAACTTTCAGCTGACCCGCAATCCACGGTATTTTTCAAATCCGCGAATCTGCTCGATTTATCGCCGAAATCCACAGTCCGTGAGCTTTTTAAGGCCAAATCCGCGGATCTGCGGACCTATTCACCCCCCTCTATATTTGGAAAATCAATGGAGAACGGTTATATATATTTCGTAAATCAAGCTTTCTTGACCTTGAACCTTTGACAATGATTCAGACTTTGTGTCATTTCTCACCTCTAATGATTCTTTGAATTCGGAAGTATTTGTAAGTGTTTGGCTTTCTATGGAAAAGTTCATCGGTGAATTCTAAATAGTACATAAAAATTGAGTGCTCTGATATGACTTAGGGTCTATAAGCGTACGATTTGGACTTGGAATTTGTCTAACTCCACAACACTTGTTTAGTAGGTATTCCGGATGCACTTCTCACTCTCTGTTCACATGCGTCTTGTGATATTCAAATCAGCTAAGAAATGGTATCTTATGCACATGTGCATCAGTAGACTGTGACCAACATCAAAACAATGCTCTCGTATACTAACAATATCCATACATCAATTCAAGAGAAAAGATTATGAGAATAATATATTAATAAAATGAAAACCACAAAAAAGATGCTTAAATCTTTCATCCTATTCTCTCAACTAATTCTTTGAGGAAATGTATGGAGACCAGTCTGGAGAATATATATGTGGATCTTAGTGCTTAAAGGGTTAATCACAAGAATAAACTGAAAATTCCAAGTGGAAACTGAAAATTCCAAGTGGGGTTTGGAAAAACATGATGACAGAGCCCCCTTCCCCCTGCCCCACCCAGGATCTGACTGGCTTTTTCTGTTTGCTTTCAGTCATCAATAATGGACGGGATGCTGCCCAGTCAGTTTATCATCTTCATATCCACATTCTTGGTGGACGACAGATGTCATGGCCACCAGGCTGAGTCACCAAACAAATAGATTATAGTCACCAGTATGTTCAACGTTCAGTAGGGATCAGTTTTAAAAACTAAAAGGCAGGATCAGCAGGGGTGAAGGAGAAACTTCATAAAACTAGAAGTGTATTTTGATATCCTTGTGTGAAATAAATAAAAATCAAATAAAGGCTATGAATATTGATTTTGCTCAATTTACTGTGTAGTACTTGCATTCTTTGAACAAAGGCAATCTTTTCAGTAGGTGAGGCCCTGTTTATATGAAGAAAAGTTGTTCCAGGAAGAGGGGTCAACAACCCGCCCGAGCTACCCGCCCGGGGTGAACCAACTTTTCATACATTTCCTTATGAAACAGGGTCGACCAGGGGGGTTGGGGGTAGTAGAATAGCAAAATACGCGAAATAGACCTTCCAATATACCAAAAATTATACTAAAACTCATGGAAAAGACCAAAATTAAGAAAACCACGGTATACTTTACTACCCAGTTTTGAAGCATAAAAAACTGTACATCTGAAATTAAATACCCCAATATACTGTATACCCAAAATCCCTGGCTGACCCTGACAAAAGGTGGCAACACTTTTCATGAGAAACAAATAGTTGGCTTGGTGAAAAGGGTGACTTGCTTAGCCGAATCACCCTCCTAGATGGGCCAACTTTTCTCCATATAAACACTTAGGCTTGCCCAGCCAGATAAACTTCAATCAGAGTGTGCTTGAGTGCTGTTGGCTTGTACCAAGGGGCTCAACCTTTTTCTTATACAAATGGTTGCTAAGGTTGACTTGGCTGGCAGGGTGACCCTCTTTGTGTGAACAGGGGGCTAAGAAGTTATCCATCTCTGTTTCTTTCTTCTTTCTCACAGCCATAATTTGTATTGTAAAACAAAGGTTATCATGTTTGATGATACCATAATATTCTTTTTCTTACTGTGAATAGTAGACACCAGCTCTAACATTTGGGGTTGTGCTTATCAAATAACCATCAAAACTTTTTTTTATATAAAATTTACCCGGAATTATTTTTCTGAAAGGATGAACAAAGAGTCAGTCACGATTTCCTGCATTAAAAGTGTCTGTTTTTTACCTTATTGTTGATTCCTTTTGAAGAAGAACTTGTCTTTGTTTTTAGGTGTGGAATTTGTTTATCACGGATTGTAAAATTAATATCACCTTTGTCCAATACATTTTTATGTAGTTAAGTGAAAACAGTTGTCAGATACACTGCAGATGTGTGGATAGAATAAATCATGGAGATGAGAACTCCAAAGAAGACTGATCAAGTGGGATGAGGCATTTGATGGATTAGGAAGGGGTAGGTACCCAGACCATGTGCACACTAATGTGTTTTCAAAAGTATGCCTTTTCATTGCCAGGTTATCACCTGCTCTGATTTGAGCATCAGTGGGGTGGTCTGGGTCTTGCCTCAGTAATAATTGGACAGCGCCTGCCATTATGCACATGCACTTGAATAGTTTTTTTTTTACTGCTAGCTAAAAGCTCTTGGGAGATGTTGTGTTTTATTTGTGGAAAAGGTTGAGATATCACCAATTTTTGTTATAGTTATGATTAATAAGTTACAGAATGTCATGTCATGTCCTATTTGGTCTGTAGTAATACTTGTGATAAGTGGAATATGGCCTCAAGGGACTACTGATCACGTCAATTTCCTCTTTTATAATTTTTCAAGAATCAAAAATGTAGTTTGTGGCTGGGGTGGTGGGTACTGCTATATATGGGCTATATAGGATAAAGGTATGTGCAGCTGTGAAGGGTATGGTTTTCAAGCAGTTTACTCTGGGATAGGGTATATAAATCAGAGAGTTTGGGTCTAGAAGAGGGTATCATTTTCCATTTAAACTGATCAATTGACTGAAGATTTTAGTCGAGACTGGGGAAACCGGGAATTGCCAGTCAAGAATTTAAAAAAATCAAATCGGTTTTGTTTTGGCTGGACTGTGCTAGTGACCTCTGTTGTTTCTGGAAAACAGCTGCTGTAGGATAGGGGGGGATTTGGGGAGTTTAGTCTAATATAGGATAGCAAAATTCAGTTGAACTAGCTCTGGTATAGGCTAAGGGTTCCAGGGTCCCAGTGGCACATCCACCCAAAAAGTCCTCCCTCCCCTTGGGGTTTGTGGGTATAATCTGCCAGTCTGTGACAAGTCAATAAGGGCATTTTTCACCTTACAGAGAAAAAAAAATGTCTGAAGGCTGTCACAATGTTAGAGGAAGATTGAGTCTGTTAAGTGATTTCCATAAATATAATTTAATGATACATCTGTGAAGTACACTATAGTTTTTATTTCAGTAGATACCAGGTAGGTAATATAATAAACCCTGATGCCAATCCACTGTTACAGTATATAGGAATAGATGATAGCACCGTGTATTAGAAGGTTAAGTTTTGTTACAGAACGGTAAGAAAGTTCACCTTACTTACATGTTTCACAGCTCTTTGAAGATCAAGGTGTTAAACAATAGGTACTTTAAAAAGGTCACATAAACGCTCACTTAATAAGCCCTCAGTGGGCTAAGAAGAGGAAATGAGAGATTTGTTAGAGAACCTGAACGATTATATGGTACAAGGTCATCTATGTTGTTGACGTTGGTGCATATGAACTATCTTCTTCAGCTATAAGCTTAAACGAAAGAGAGGGTTAGAGAACTGTCACCAATAGTTTCTTCACCAAAACTTCTTGTGGTTGCTGGCCATATAAACGACGTATCCCACAAAAACGGGCATGCTGATGAAGCTTCTAACCATGTGATAGTTATTCCACTTGACAATGGTATCCCGTATAACACTTTCACTCTTCTTAGAGGTGATATCTTTATCGTAGATGGGGTCAATGGAATTTGGCTTGAGGATGAAAAGCGTGTAAGGAAAAACTAACGCCACTATCCCTCCGCCGATAAGAAAAGGCAGTCCCTTCTTCGGATTGCAGTAGTATGCCCCAACTCCGGAAACAGTGGAGACTAACGCCAAGCAGCTCTGCAAGACTTTGGCTCGATCAAAACTCTCCATCCATTGTCGATGGCATGATTTCGTGTCCGTCAGGGTCATACGAGCCGGATGTTCCACAACATTGACATAGATCGCACTGCCAGAAAAAATACCTGCAGCAACAGTGGAGAGAACTTCCAGACACGAGAATAAGTCGTCGGCGTCTAAACCCATACTGAACAGAAGAATATTTTGTTGGTATTTCTCTTAAAAGATAGCTCGCTGGGATAGTATAGGCACACAAACAGTTTAGGCACACCCAGGCTACTTCAAGCAAGCTGCGCAAATAAATGTTGCGCACACTCGCATGGGCTCGAGACAATAGGTCACGCGATAGCTTGCGAGATCGGCTAGGCTAGTCACGCGATACCTCACAACTGGTATCTTTTTTAATTGTAGAAATAGCCCACGTCAGGCTCCTGCCCACGTTCGATATGTTAAAATTCTAACATGACTCCGAGGCTTTAGGAACAAACTTGCAAATTTTATCGGGGCTTATTTAACTTTGAAATGACGATTGTATCAGTTAGAATTCAAAGTGGAAAGGCTCAAGTACAAGAAGTTTTAGGTCACGCAGGCAAGGATCAGAATCAGATCCCAATTTCCAGTTGCAAAAAAAACGATCCCGGATCAGTCGATTAATAGAATCTATCATTTATTTGTGAAGAATAATTAGGGGAGGGGAAGGGGGGCTTAATAGAGAGGGGGACTGTATTAACTTTCTTTCCCTGAAAAGGAAGGGCTCAGTAGGGGGAGGGGGCTTATTTGAGAGGGGGAGCTTAATAGAGGATATACGGTATAGAAAAATGACCAGAAAGCCTTGGAGTCATGCTAGAATTTAGCCTGTGTGGTAGGTGCAAAAAGGGAAGGGGGAGGGGTGAGGGAGAAAAGTGTGATCCCCTCCCTTTTCCCCTTCCTCCCTATCCCCTAACCCTTTGGATGTCCACAAGGCATGGGCTACAAGAAATGAGAGACCGAGGGTACTGGGTATAAGATGGGCAGACGGAGGTGGAAGGAATGTTCCACCCCAAACCCCTTTTCCAAAGACCTAAGTGGAATTCTTACTACTGTTGTTTGCATTGTATTGCTCACAAGAAAACCCATTCACAGAGACAAAGTGTCACTCCATTCAACTATCTTGTTTTTAATAAAATTTGCAAACAAAAAGCAGAACAGATAAATTTTTCATGAGATTTATTGTCAAAATTACAGTATTGCATGAAAATGGCAAAAACAAGAATCGTACCTTCCATAACATTCGAGAAAGTTTTTGTCAAGTGAAATAGAGCGAAATTCCAAAGAAAAAGATGTTTTGTGGTAGTTGCCTTACAAAGCCTCTACTTTTCTCGTAAGATTATAAGTGCACAAATCCCTTCTACATAAATATCCAAATAATAAAAAAAGAGAAATAAACAATCTACACAAAGGTTTAATGAAAAGGAAGGTCACAGTCACGAAATTATGACACCCTGATCGCACCCGTAACCCCCTTCCCACCCACCCAAGACAAAAGTGCGAGCGCTTTGTATAATTATATTATGCAATACACCAGATATACAATACAAAGGCCAAAATAAAATCTTAAATGAAATATTCACAGATATGTTCATCAAGCCATTGTTTTAATCCAAATAAAAGTTATTCATCTTCATTCTTCGCATAACATGTGGAAACGAAAAAACCTCAAAGCGATATTCACTTTTAATATTGACCAAAACTTGGAGGACCAGTCCATTCTGTGATCACTTCTTCATTCAATCTTGTCGTTGGTGAAACCAATTAACAGTGTCGATCAGTTGTACACCAGATTATATACACACCAGGCTAAAGCAGACAAATCGACGATAGTGCGAACCTTGTGAAAAGTATTCCATTTATCAACAGTGTCCCTGATTTCTCCCGGATCCTTCTTCCCAGCGACTTCATAGTCATATATAGGTTCAATAACACGAGGCTTCATGGCTATACCAGTGTACGGCACATTAAACGCCAACAATCCTGCCGTTATTAACCAAGGTTTGCCTTTGGCTCGGTCAATAGCAAACGCCGCAATTCCGCCGGCTATCGGAAGCAACGAGGTACCCGCCATAAGAAACTTGGCTCGGTCGAAGCTCTCCCGCCATTGTCGATGCAAAGATTGTGCGTCGTCCAGTTCCATTCTTGCTGGATGTTCAACGACGTTGATATAAATCGCCCCTCCAGCGATAACACCAGTGGCGATTGTCGAGGCGAATTTTATGAGCTTGAGAGCGTCTTCAGCGTCCATTTTTTCTTTCCAGAACGGCTGGGTTGATCAACTCACAACAAGCAAACACCGCACCTCAGGGCCTCAGCTGACCTTTGAATATATATTTTTAATTTATGCAAGATTATAATTATTAAATTTCAGATAAAACGTAGCCTATACAGCCGCCCTCCCCACCCAACTCAAAAAAAATCGAAGAAGGGGAGGGAGGGGGCGGCGGCTGTACACAGGCTAATAAAACGAAGATTAAAAAAAAAAAAAAAAGAAAAGAAAAGTTATAAACATTTACGATCAAAAGAAAGAAAAATTCAACTAAATACCCAGCATCGCAAATTTTTTCTCGATGAGGAGCTCTAAGGCCAAAACTAGGTTTCTTCCAAAATACGGTATGTAAGGTGTCATAATTGAGGGATAAAGATCAGAGTAAATGTACAAATTTATAACGCTGCATCACGCTCGCTGCTTGCCTGCCTGTGGGGCCTTGTTGACAAATTACTCCTGACGCTGTGCCATAGTCACGCAAAATCAGCATGGGTGTGTTTGTTTGTTATCTATCCGCGTCCCCTGCCAAATTAAAACAGCGTATAAAACTCTCGCCCCTTCGACTCAAAAGCAACGTCTTCGCTGTGATCCTTGGCTTGATAGAGCACTGCTAAAACTCTTTCAAAATGACCAGTTTGACTCCGCAGAAGATTTTTCCAATGATCGAATTCATCACTACCTTCACCTGTGGCATACTGATGGGAATAGCTCTTTATGTAATTGCTATAGAGCAGCCATCACGAATGACCATGAAGGACCCCGTCGCTATTCATCGCCAATGGCTGACAAGTTTTCATCGAACAGCAAAACTCATGATGGCCCTGTCCATGTTTCCTCAGACTGCTGGTGTTGTAGCGTATTATCTAGACGCCACTCGAGGCCTTCCTTGGTTGATCGTTGCTGGGTTAGTTCTGTTCAACATGCCTTATACCCTGCTGGTTTTGAAGCCTTTTTTCATTGATCCCATACTTGATGAAGATACCTGCTCTAAGAAGGAACACGCGTATGTGGTTGATCGTGTAGTCAAGTGGGCAAGAGCTCACATCGTACGAGTGCTAATCAATATGGCTGCATTTGCTTTATGCGTTTACACTGTTGTTTACAAGTGATGCTTCGTTAGCGGACGGTAAAGCTCCTTTAGTCCGATCAGTATCAGAGCCGAAGAAATGGATATGTATCATCTGAGTGGTTTTCTGTGGCTCGGTTTCTGATCGAATCTTCCAAAGCGTTGTTACTAAGCGACGTTATTTCGTAAATTAAGCCTCGTTCTTCAAATAATCCCGCCAAGGCCGGTTTTGTTAGGACTGCTCTTAAACTGTGATCGACGAATCGCAAAAGTGTGCTCTTACTTTTTGATATGTTTTGAGAAGATTTAATACTGCCTAGTTATCAGCCTTAAAGTGTTCGCGGCCGGCTTTTTTTCTTAGAACAGCTTTAGTGGTAGGTTTTTTTTAGTTTTAATTAAATTAACGTGAAAACTTCACAGTTGTTGGTTTCTGGAGGTTTTTATTGGCTCCTGATTTGTAACATGCATGTTCCAGATCTTGTTTACTGTGGGTAATGTCGACTGAGATATCGGTCGACATAGCGGTCGATATAGCGGTCGACAGTCGGTCGATATAGCGGTCGACAGTCGGTCGATAGTCGGTCGATAGTCGGTCGACAGTCGGTCGATAGTCGGTCGATAGTCGGTCGATAGTCGGTCGATGGTCAGTCGATGGTCGGTCGATAGTCGGTCGATAGTCGGTCGATAGTGAGATAGACTATCGGCCGAGTATCGGTCGATATTTCGTCGACGCACCTCGACTTACTATCGGTCATATGTCGGTGATATATCGGCCAACAGTCGGTGATATATCGGTCAACTCTCGGTGGTATATCAGTCAACTGTCGGTGGTATATCGGTGAACTGTCGGTGGTATATCGGTCAACTGTCGGTGGTATATCGGTCAACTGTCGTTCGAATATTAGTCGTGTGTTAATTTATCAGGTGAGTCCTATGGCTTTTTTTTAAGCAAAGACGTCATTAATTACTGTTATCATGCGATGGGGAACATGTGCCAGTGCAAGGCGCGATTACGCTATGAAGAGAACCGAAGAGCACTGGGAACTAAGGACATGATAACCTTTTTTTTTCCAGTTTGTATCATCACCGATCGTCTGAGTTTTAGCTGTTAAACAGAACCTGTCTCAGCCTAAGTTGAATCTGCTGCTCCTGTGGTCCCGCAAAAATGTAGGAAAATGTAGGAAATGCTAAGTGTCGACCGACCATCGACCGAGTGTCGACCAATTACTGACCGACACATCAGTCAAGTATCGACCAACTATCGACCAAGTATCGGCAAAGTGTCGGCGAAGTGTCGGTGAACGAAAAGCTATATCGGCCGAGACACATCTGGAACGACTATCGGCCGTGTCTCGACCGAGTGTCGACCCACTATCGACCGACTATCGACCGACTATCGACCGCTATATCGACCGACTGTCGACCGAGTGTCGACCGACTATCGACCGAGTGTCGACCGAGTATCGACCGACTGTCGATCGAGTGTCGACCGACTATCGACCGAGTGTCGACCGAGTATCGACCGAGTGTCGACCGCTATATCGACCGCTATATCGACCGATATCTCGGTCGACATTACCCACAGTAAACAAGATCCCATGTTCCTTTGAAGAGCCCTTTTAATGTATTGAAATTCATCATCTACCACTGTGACGCAAAGTTGACTCTTAATCACCTGCCTAATTGACTCAAACAAAAGTAGCGAATAGACATTTTTCTGAATTTTATGTGTCTGCTCCTCCCGATTTTGCGTCCCCAACCCTAGCCTCCTTGGGGCTTTGGTCACGCGTTCCTGATGAAAAGCTACCTCCCCCGCTCAATTTTCCGCTCTAGCCGAACCCTTCGGTCCCCCTCCCCGCTTCCTGCAAAAATATTGAACTAGGCACCAGTTCTCGCCCTTTTGCTCTTGCTGGGCCTCCCCTGTTATTCCTACACACGTGTTACATTCTTCCTCTTTTCGCCGGCCATCTTGAATTTGCGATAAAATGGTAGGTGAAAGGGAATAATTTGAAAATTTTTAGTACTTTAAGGTCGGTTTAGCAAAGAGGTGATTAATCTTTCAAATCAATAAATATCAAGCTGTAACCATGCAAAATCTGAGAGTAACAAGGGTTTGGATTTGGTCACAATGTTCTGTAGTTTCGGAGAACCATTTCACGGTGATTTCACAACGTGATTTTACATCGAACTTTTCCCAAGACTCTTTATCGATATTTGCTTGGTTAAATTTCTCTGGTGCTACCATAAATCCCAAGATTTTGGATAAAAATAACAGCTTTGGCGAAGATTACCTTAATCAAGTTTTGAACTTATGCTTTAGGGTGCGTCAAGTTTAAAACACAACGTACCCTAGTCTGACAAGTTTGAAGGGAATTTTGGGTATTTTAACTGTTATCGTTTTATGAAAAGTTGAAAAAAGGAAGAAGGCTCAATAAGACATCATTCTTGGTTATATTATCTCCAGTTTAATCAAATTTAATTTAACAGGAGTACTGTCACATTTGAGTGACTGTCTTTTTCATGTACAGGTGCTTGGAGGTTTAGGTTATTTTACAGTTGTGTGCTCAGTGCATTGGCCTTTGAATAGAAGCTAGGCTGATGGAAACCTTGTTTTGTTTCAAACCTTTCTGCTTTTCTTGTGTCACTTGTGGTATTCTTGTGCTAACAAGCCCACAAACATTTTCATTTACACTTGAAATGTGAAGCCTTGAAATATGTCCCTTCCTGTCTCTTATTTGTTCAAAAGCAAGGGTACTGACCACACAACTGTACATGACCTATAGTCTTTGTTATGGTAGAGACATTAAAGTGAGGAAAGGTGAAGACGTAGATATCGTGCCTCCAAAATTTCTCTCTGTCATCAAGACCTGCCGATGAGCGTCTATTGGCTAGCAATGTATTTCATTTTTTAACGTTTGCTGTCAAGATAAACTCTATTGAGGTTGAAGTTGTAAAAAATCAAGTAGGTAAACGGTCAATAAAAGTAAAATAAAAAAATGAGTTGTCCTCATGTAAATGACCTCAAAAAAGACTTCAAAGTCTCATATTACTTAAACGTCTCCAGCTCCTTTTGTTTCGAAAATTCAAGTACAGGTTTCAACTCTCTTCAGAGAGACATCTTTGGGACTAGCACTTTGTGTATGTCTCAAAGTGATGTCCATCTTATTGAGAATGGACTAAACGGAGTACAAAAGGCAGGGACCAACTCTAGGTGTCCGTTTTAGCGTGGTCTCCATCTTATAAAAGTGTCCACTAAAAGAACATTGACTGTATCAGCACTCAACTGTAATCACCTATTGCTGAGAATGTGAATGTAACCATTTTGTTCCCTCCACATTCATTTAAAGTTTGTTTCACTGATTATTGTGTTATTGCTTACCAGGCGGCTCGACCTTTGATAACAGTCTACGATGAAGCAGGAGAAAATGCTGGACAGACCACCCTTCCAGCTGTGTTCAAGGCTCCCATTCGTCCTGATGTAGTCAGCTTTGTTCACACCAACATGGCCAAGAATAAGCGACAGGCATATGCTGTAAATGTCAATGCTGGCCACCAGACCTCTGCAGAGTCCTGGGGTACAGGCCGTGCTGTCGCTAGGATTCCTCGTGTTAGAGGTGGTGGAACCCATCGATCTGGTCAGGGTGCTTTTGGCAATGTATCTTTCTGATTAAAGATTTCTTTAACTGTTCAATCCCCAATATCCACATACAAATTCACCAGACATCTCTATACATTTCCTTCAGAATTAGTGGAGACAGTTCGATAAAGGATCAAGGCATTTCCCTTAAGTGATCATTTTATTAATTGTCGAAACCTTTTCTCTTGTCACTATTGGGACTTGAAGGGTTTAGTGTTAACATTTTATTTCATGCTTTCTAAACATCTTCTTTTTGCTGCTGAGTGTTATAACTTTTTCTAAAAGGGAATGTATTGCAACCGGCACTAAAATTAATGTCTGTCTTAGAGAGATGGCAGTCTTTAAGTTAGGCAAAGGAAAAGACTAAACAAGGGCCTGGAACTCTTGGTGTCCAATTTTGGGGAGCGTTGAATCTCTTATGGATGTTTTCATTATGACAGAGATGACTACATATGCTCTCAAATGTGGATCGTATAGAAAGAGTGTATTCTTTAGTAAGATTTGAAAGTTGGCAGGTTAGCTTCTGCACTGGTTGTTTTGTTTGAATGCTTGTTATAGTTTATTATTCATAAGTGACTGATTTCAAGAAATGATTGCTTCACCAGTTGAAATTTTGTTTACTGAAAATTGGGGGAGTAGACTTGAAAAATCTCTTACTGTATTAAAGTTGTAAGGAGACAGGGATTTCTAACCATTTTCCTCTGTGAAAGCAAAGTTAGAAAATTGTCCTCAATTTATTTTAACTGTTTGAGTGAACAAGGTGGCCACATTTTTGGCTCAGTTTAATTCTCACTGTGTTAGCTGAACCATATTATATTATTTTGAGGTAGCATCCTTAATTTTTAAACAAGATGTGCCGAGGTGGCCGTATGTTTGCACCTACAAAAACCTGGCGCCGCTGGCATCGCAAGATCAACCAGAAACAGCGTCGCTATGCCATGTGCTCAGCACTAGCTGCCTCTGCTCTCCCTGCACTGGTAATGGCACGAGGTCACCGTGTGGATGAAATACCTGAGGTACCATTGGTTGTCTCTGACAGCATTGAGTCCCTGCAGAAGACAAGTGCCGCTGTTAAGCTGCTAAAAGCTGTCAATGCATATGAGGATGTTGAAAAGTGCAAGGATTCTAAGAAAATCCGTGCAGGCAAGGTAAGTTTGGGTGTGGTATATAGTCAAGCCTCCTTGATACGGACACCAAAGGTACAGGGCTAAGTGTCAGCTTTGCACGGGTGTCTATAATATAGAAGTAGCTACTGTATGAAGTTTCTCAACTCTGGGACAGGGTGTGAAAAAAGTCCTGTCTGGTCATCCCGGACAAACAGATTTTTTTACTGGGCAAGTAACTTTATAAGCTTCTTTCTCCATTGGTCCAAGAAATCATTAAGCAAAGCAAAGGTCATGGCAAACAAAATTGTGGGAGCTAATTGTTTAAAGGACAAGCTTTAGTATAAGGATTTTTCAAGCCCTGTGGGATGAAGAGAAATATCCATAATATAGAGGGGTATAAAAAGGAGAGGTGAGACTGTGTAGGTAAATTTTGCTTTGAAACTTTCATATCTTGATTTGATGGTTAATATCTTTGTGTTTGGCAAATCCCCAAAGCTCTTTTGAGGCTGTCGGCTTTTTTTCTTCTGGTTTCATTGGCTTTCTTACAGAGGTATTCAGGGCTGTGCTCTAGCAGAGCCCGGTGGCCCTTGGGGCCGAACTTTTACCCTCAGGCGACTAGAAAATCTCAGATTTTTCATACAAATCACATGCTGGGCACCCTAGATTTTACAGTTTCAGAGCACTGGGCTCCCGTCAATTTTCAGTAGAGTGCAGCCTTGGGTATTGGATAAATAGACACGGGCAGCCTATATAAAGTCTTGAAATGTTAAATTCTTAACATGTATTATTTTATTACTCCATTATAGTAAAAACTTATTGACCTAAACATCAGCACCAAAATACTTTGTTTCAATGTTATTTTCACAGAGTGCCAGTCAGGAATTAGGTGCCCAACAGTCTATAGGTGAAGTGTCAGTGACAGAGAGGGCTGGGCTAAATACAGCAATAGACCTTGTTGGCATGTTTGTTTTGTGGCCAGTGTAATAGTCGCACTCAAAATTGGACCTATGTTGCTAAAAAACACTCTTTATTTCCAGCAAGATAAAGGTGCAGATCTCATAAGTATTGTCACATGATCTCCAGTACCAAAGCATACCAGCAAATAAGGTTTATTTAGCTTCTTGAAGCTTTATGCAGAAAATCTGAAAATTTGGGTTATAAGTCAATGTTAATTTTGGTATGTAATCATGCTGTGTGCCTTACCTATACATATTTTACATACCATGCTTGTTTAAACTTTTATATTAGGGTAAGATGCGTAACCGTAGGACTGTGATGCGCAAAGGCCCCCTTGTTATCTACAACGAGGATCAAGGTGTGCGAAAAGCCTTCCGTAATTTACCAGGAGTTGATATTCTTTCTGTGGATCGTCTGAATCTTCTCAAGCTTTGTCCTGGTGGTCATATGGGAAGGTAATGAGGACAAACTCTATGTTTATTCTATGTGCTTCTTATGTAATTTTGATTTATGGGTTCTATCTACCAATGGTCTAATGGCTTTGAAATCCACATTTCTGTGAATGAACCCTGTTTAAGCAGTTTATGCATTTTGTCAAGGCGCTAGACTAAATGCAGGGAATTAGCTTTCTTTCTTGTGCTTTAACTGAACAAACAAGGGAAGTGTTCAGTTATTTTGTTTGTTGTAAGTCACCTGTAATGGCAAAGAGCCTACCTGAAGCAATCAATACCAAGGGAAGCAAGTGAATCACACCTTGCCTTTTAACCCTTGTATCAATGAAAAGAGAAAGTACATTTGTATCGTCTTATCCATGAGGTTAGTCAAAGCTACAGCATACTCTTTGTATAGGGTATTCCTGTATCCATGTAGTGTTCACAGTAAGGGTCATTGTTTGGTTATTGAGAAAATGTTTTTTTGTTAGCTCATTGATGGTGGCATTAAAATAAAGTTTTAGTGGATCATGGAACAGCATATGATTTCTTTTTCTGGCATGAGCATTTGTATAAAGTGCTTTTCAGCATTGTAAGAACATTGCATAGTTGTATATTATGTGCTTGTTTGTGTTCTGTAGGTTGTGCATCTGGAGTAAGGGGGCTATTGAGAAACTTGATTCCTTATATGGAACTGGAAAGAAACCATCCACTGAAAAGAAGGATTTCAAGTAAGTTGATGCTTCTTTTATGTCTGTATGTGATGACAGTTGACGTGTGAAATCAACTATCGTTTTATGGATGCATACAGGTAAATCTTTGCTGACGTCATTACTTACAATTTGCTCATTAACATACGAGTAAACCCATAGAAGAGGTCACCGTATTCACAAATTGAATTCAAAAGTTGAAAGGCTTGGTTAATTTGGGCAACTTGTGCAAGTTTCAGTTCTTTGCATGCAATATCAAAGGAAATAGAAGCCATCGAAAGCTGCAAAAACCAATCGAGTCCATACGTTCTTTGTAAAGTTTTGAGTTTTTCAAAGATAATTCCTCCTGAACGATTTGGTATATCAGGCTCACATTTTCACAGATAACTGAAGTTGTTATGCTCTTTTGATGTTCAGAAAGTTTATTTTAAAAGCTTGATCAGAGAATGAAAGGAATATGCTAATGAGTGAAAAATGTAAACAAAGATTCGGATATATTTGTAGAGGCTATACATGGCAATCCCTTCACCCATGTGGTGAGGATATTAACCATTTTTTGCTTGTTTGTTTTTTTTTTCACAGTCTCCCACAACCACTCATGAGCAATGCAGATCTCAATCGTATTATCAACAGTGAGGAAATACAGGCTGTCCTCAGACCTGCTGGGTAAGAAAGGGTCCATTTCTTATCATATTATTTTTATCAGTAATAGCAAGTTTTTGTTTAGTTAACGTGCAAAAGTAAATCTGTCAATCTGACACAAAGTAGTTGAGTTATTAGCTCCTCTTACCTTACGAGACTGACGTAAAATTGCTGCTCATGTTTTACCCTTTTTCTTCAATTCTTTAAATCTAACGTACATTTACTTCACTTAAGACCTAAAGCATTTGATTGGCAAACATTACACACTGCACTCAAGCATTTTAACTGTTCTATACATTGTACAGTGTACTTTTTGTAAGGGTTGGGGGAGGGGTGAGCTGAATAGCTTGATACAAAAGGAAACCCTATTGAAAAGCATTAATCTGAGATACAAGAAAAGCAAAGTGAGAAACATTGTTCTGCTTTTCAATAAACGTGGAAACTGTCTTTGCATTTTGTGCATAGAGCTGGATAGCTGAGCTGAATTCTCTCTGCTGGGAATTTGTACTCCGTGACCAAGTTTTCCCCTTATTTTCCGTTTACTCTTTATTGCTTCCACACAAAAATAAGTAGTTTTATGCCAGTTTTAACCATAGGAATCGTTCGGGACTGTTTTTATCTGCATATTTTCTATTCTGAGAAATTCTCAACGTTAGTCTGAGGTTTGCCGTTTGCGGTAAACGTGAATCTTAATCTCTCTAATGCGACTCTAAATTTCTCTGTTATTGTTGCGGCTTTTCCACCAGACCATCAAAGACCCGCCGAGCAATCCGTAAGAAGAATCCTCTGAAGAACATTGGCATCATGATGAAGCTGAACCCTCATGCTAAGACTGTCAAGCGAGCTGAGATGCTGACGGTAGAGAGGAGGAGGGCTGCTAAGGAGGCTGTCCTGAGCAAGAAGAGGGAAGGAAAATAATGCTGTGTTGAGTTCAACGACAATAAATCAATAAAGCAGCAGAGTTCAATGTGAAGTTCTCGTTGATGTTTAGTCCTTATTTGCGAGCGAAAGAAATTGGCCTTGTTTCAGACCTTTTCAGCGTCTTTGCCAAGTGACATGTGACTGTTTTTAAGTTGCAAACTATTACTAAGTAGGTCGCTTGCTCGGGCGTGTATTTTGGAAACCTTTAACCAGCAAACAAGCTAAATGTTTAAAGATCACGTGAGTCGTAACTCACGTGCAAGCGAGCTGAGTGAGCTATCTCCCGCCTTTCTTGTCGCTGATGCGTGAGTTTTCACCTCTTGAGATTCTCAAGCGCAGAGCTTGCTTGGGATTTTTATGGGCGCATAGTTGACTCTCCTTCATTTGTTAGTCGCTGTCGAACATGACTGGTCAATTACGGTCACTGTTCGAGACTGGCCTAAAACCAAATCCAGGACTGATAGGGTAACTTTATTGCTCAATATTTCGGCAAAACAATACGCTCACCCTCAAATCAAGCAACCCCTCTCCCGAATTAAGCTCTCTTAGGGATAGTCTGCTACACAGGAGGAGGTGGAGCGTTGCGTGACGACACTAAAAACGGTTGTGTAGCAGACTATCTTAGGAAGGGACTATTGATAACTAGACTGCTCTGCGTTTTAAGCCTCACTCCAGGCCTTTTGTTTGACTGTTCGCGTGTACTTGAATAGGCAGAAGTACGAACTGTTTTGCAGTCTAATCGACAACTATTGTGCTGAAATTTCTCTTATTACCCTTGTCCTCACCCTGGACACAGCTTACTGGAAGTTTCGATACGATTCAATTCAGTCAAAAGTATAAGCAGTGTCGCATAGTTGGCCTACAGAACGAGGAATATTAACGCCATCTGTTTTTTATTGTTCACGCCCTAACTGCTGAAGTTAGTGCATCAATAATCTCGCCCCAGCTTATCTCTGTAATTTGCTTGCCTCAAGAACCCCGAATTACTATTTTCGCAACACGAAGAAAAAATTAATGCTCCCAAAACCAAGAACTGATTACCTGAAGCGCGCTTCAGTTACAGTGGCGCTTTTCTATGGAACAATCTTCCTGAGGAAATACGTACATCAAATTCCTTACGTTCCTCTAAGAGAAGTTCCCATAGATGGTTTTCTGGTCAGTACTCCCACACGGCAAATACGTAAAACAGTTTTTGAGAATTTTTAATTAATTTTCTATCATTCATTCATTCATTCATTCGTTTGTATGCAGATTTTATATCGAAACGGCCAGTCTCCCATGCATGTAATTCTCAGCGAGGCGAAGTTCTTATGCCTCACACTCGATTCCCCTACCTCATACTTGTATTATTGTTGGAAAGAACAGTAATCACTTGAACCAGAAACCTGTTTCATCTCGGGAGGTTTTAATGAAAATTTCTAGGAAGAACTGAAAAACTGGCTCTTGCATGTCTTAAAACTGCCAGTAACATTCATTACTTTCTAACTCTTAGACTGATATTAGTGTCAGCAAATCAAACCAGGTTTCAAAACGGCGCGACTCAAATTTCTTTTCCTTCTATCGAAAGGGATAACAGTCATTTTTTGCGCTAATCGTCACTGCAAGCCGGCACAACACATGATTGTACAGTTCACAGCTATCACACCAGAGATTTTCACATAGGCTGCCGCTGTCTTTAAGAGTGACCTGAAAACCCTTTGACAGTCAAACAAGTCCGTTCCAGTTTGTGGCCGTAAAAAAGTCCACTCCAAGCTCCTCCACGCTAGCTCCATGTTCTTTCAGGGAGTTCTTTCTCGTCTGGGCTGATGAAAAATACTGCGAAGCATACTGCACCAAATCTTCTGGTTTGTCTCGAAGAACCACTAACACAAACCCCTCTAGCAACTCTACCAGACCAGGTGGAATCTTTCTTTTTGACGAGTCGGAAGATACAGGCACAGACATATGACTGGATCTTTCTGGAAGAATCAAAAGACCGTGATAGAAAAAAACCAGATAATTCTTCCGGACAATCAATCAAGTCATATGTGATGTCATGTAATTCGTTTGCGCGCACGCAAAAAGGGTTCCACGCGATTCCACGCTTACAGTGTATATGCACGCGTGTGACAACTTTCTCGCCCCAGGACTACCTTACCCGGGTGCGTCGTACAGACTGTAGATTTTGGCTAGGACAGCTTACCTGCACGTGCCACCACATTCCGATAGTCATTTTAGTTCCCGTAATAAAAAAGACTGAAAAAAATAAGCAAATAAATAAATGAAAACAATAATAAAAAAGAAATTGTTTGAAGAGCGCCTAAATCAGTGTAGGGAATTCGGGGACAAACCTAATCTGCTTACTCAGACGTGTTTTCGTTTGTCGCTTCTCCACCTGATTTCCCATTTCTCTCGACCAATTAGCACGCGAGAATTCACTCCGTCATTGTAAAATTAAGGTTGGGGTAGATCCTTATGTAAATACTGATGTTCCAGAATATTTAGCAATCGGAATAAGGCTGAGTAGGATGTGAAGAATTATGCAGATTGAGGAAGATGTTATCCAGACGCGGTGGATAACTTCCTCCAAAATTTGCACAGCTCTCCACATAATACGACAGCCGAATTCAATATTTGTTCTATTATTCATTCAAATTGTTTCTGCTTGCATCTGAAGACTTTATTCAACTGAACTTTGGCCTTTTTCTCGGCACGGTGTCAGGAAAAAAGAACAGATGTTTTATCTTGCAAATCATGATCCTGAACATGAAATTACAAGCGCTCCTTACAACTCGATTAAGAATTATCTGCACTGAGGGCGATCTAGTGTATTGATTACCAAAGTAACAATTATGTACTATTACTAAAATCAGTGAAACTACCAACTGATGTTAAAGACGTACTACAGCAAGAATGTGACAGTACTGATACATAAAGTAAAAGTAGAGTATGATTGAACTAAGATAAAGATAAAGGTTCAGTTAATGAAATACATTATGTAGAAAGTAGTCAGTGGAAAAGTGAGCATCTCCCTCCCAAGTCTAATGACTACAAACAAGAGAGAATGAGCTAGATCATTCTCTCTTGCTACAAAACAGGCAAGAATTAAGGTTTTTAGGGAAACTAGAAAGACTGAATTATTTCTTTTCTTGATTAGTTTAATCACCCATGCTCAATCTTGTTCGCGATATCACGGCGAGTTGTTCTCTACCAAACAGTCTCCGCAAAACCTAGAAACACTAAAACATTGGCATGTCGAATAAAGGAGAACTTACTGGTTTGAGGTGTAAACTGGTTAAACTCCCACTGCTCCTTAACGGTAGCAAACTTGACTGGTTTTTCAGTGAACCATATATCCTCGAAGACCCAGGGATGGTGGTCAGTAAGGTTGAGAAAAACGGCAGCGAAACTCAGTTTTCAAGAACGGACGAGAAAGCTCCCATTCTCTCCGGGAGACCCAGGGGTGGAGAGCCGGGTGACCAAGAAAGATGGAGAAGTTAGATATGATAGATAAATAAATAATTAGATCCAGTGCCGAAAGCTGAGCCGACAGATACAGGAAGAGCAATATCCCGCATGCATGAACTTCTACTGGAACAGTATAGGATTGGTGTGTATTTGCAACAACTTGGCGAGCGACGCCGCTCAGTCACAGGTATTCGAGAGAGTGTCATAATTCGTTTGCGTTAATGACCATTAAGTCATTACTGAACTCCTTCCCTTTGATTCTGCGATAACATTTCCAAAGATTTACAGCGATTTTGATTGGCTGTTTAATTCAATCTCATTCCCAGGTTCTCTCTTCTCGCCGTCCTCTTTAGCCAATTTGTGGCGAGTTTAGTTTTAATTTTCCAGACGGAAACATTTGGCACAGCAGGGTCCAATTTGTACGGGTTTATGAAAGTCGCTTAGTTATTTCGCGCCTCACCGAGTTTGGGTGGAAAAACAATAATTCTGTGTGGGATTACTATCTGACAAAATAGCTAAATTTCCTTTCGCTAAATCTCTGAAATCGGGTTGATTATGATGCATTATGGCAGAGACTTCTCAGTCAAATAGCCTTGAGCTATCCACTTACTGCATGGTTTTATCCGATAAAAGCTTTTTAAACGCATTCAGCGTGAGTGCAGCGAGGCACTTTTTAAAACGGATGAAGCATGACTATCTTATCCGTTATAATCCGTCGCACAAATCCAATTACTTGTCTTAGCAGGGATCGCGCGTTGTGGTTCAGGCATCTTGTTGGCCAACCAAACCGGGCAATATGACAGATATTTAACTGTGGTATCTCCGGCTACCTCACCATTGGCGGAATCATACATTGGCAATTGTCGTGACCACCGTTTTATTTTTAACAACGTGTTTCGGCTTATTGCATGTTATTCCACAAAATCATCGCGTGAGGGAGACTGATTTTACTTTCCGTGATAAAATACTAAATGAACACGATATAGCACACATCTTCTGGCTCGTGATATTGCACGATATAGTCACGGCAAATTAATTAAAATTGAACAATCATCCGCATAGTTCGAGTGTGAGATCGTTCAGACCAAGAGAAGAAGCTTGACCAACGTTTTAATTGCCAGAGCCATGCATCAAAAGATTGCCCCACAAGACAGAAAGTTGTCTTCGAAATTAACCCGCCGTGTTTGCATAACAGAGGATTTAATTTGTCTTATGGAAGGCTTCACCATTACTGCAATAAATGAAAGACCTGAGCAGAAAGATCTGGTGAACTTTGCGTCAAACTATTTCGAGGAAATTCGAAAGAGAAGGAACATGTTAGCCGATAGAGGAGTGGGCAACTTCAGAACTGGCTTGTATCTCTGTAACGAGTGGAATGGCCAACTATGATTGAGGGAAGTTTACATTCTTGAGTGAACTGAAGATAGTGTATGAAGATACTCAAATAAGGTTATCGATTATCAGTGAAGTTGCGTTTAATTGCTGACAGGAGCACTTAACCACTATGAATTCATTGAGTAATTAATTAAATGGCTTTTAGTAAAAGAACTACAACATATAGACGGACCCGATTTTTCTTAAAGTACGCATGAATATCAAACAACATCTCAAATTCAGTCCTCAACTGTGACATGGTTATTTCGTACAAGGTGGCGTTTGGCTTTGAAGACATCGTTACACCGGCCTTCGTAGCTGCCTGTTGTGTCGAGTGAAAGCCTATCTACTTAATGATATTTAAACATGAATCACATGTTTAAACGTGTGCATAGATTAACACAAATTGTAGATATTCAGTCCTAGCAGAAGGAATTTGAAACTGGTGTTTTTAATAATATTTGAGAATGAACTGACTTTTGTCGGCCACTTTGGATGGCGACGGTTGCAGGAAAAAGGGCCATGTGATGTGCCATTCAATAATACTCTAATTTTGTCAAATGAGCACAGTGTAAGTCAGAGTTTCATAACTGTTTATTTATTTTTGCGTTTCGTGACTTAGTAAAACCATGTAATTTACAACTAAATACAATTACATTATGTATTTTTCTGATTTTGAAGTCTTTCATCAAACCTACCGCAACAAATAAATTGGCAAACGACCTTTGTGATTAAAATTCATGACATGTAAAAAACTTGATTGAGAACAGAATATGGACAATATTTTAGAAGGTCACGACTCAACTTTGCCGCCAATATAACAAGACTTCATTTTCCATATGTATCGTCATGATATAAAGTCTGTCCTCGGAAATCTGCCGAGTGAGTCGAGTGCTAATGAAATTACAAACATGTAAAATATTTCCGTACTGTAAAACCAAACATCGATTTCTTTTTCAGTGGATAATGTATGTAATAGCGATGACTATGTATTACAAACAGAAACAATTAAACGTTTTTCAGCGGGAACAAAAACCATGGACGAAGCTAGACCTGAGGAAAACCGGCTTTCAAACGCTTTACTAAAAATAAGACTAAGTGGGTGACCAAACTAATCATACAAAACAGGGATTTTCGGCGAATTTCTATCATGGAATCGGATGCGAGAAAATTTTATTTTAAATCCCAAGGGAAAATAATTGAAAGTAAACAAATAGATTATAATCTGGAGTTAGGAGCTGGAGTAGAATAAACAGGAAGAAGAAAAAAAGGCGTTAATTTCGTTAAAATTTTATCAGTCCTATTAAATATCATCTTTTTGTTAGTGTTGATACGCAGAAGTGACTAGACTTATTATATATGTGTTTTATAAAGACGTCGCTATAGTCCAGTTGTATGTGCTTTTTACGGTTCTTCGACATTTTGAGGTTTTTACTGCTAATGCGATTTTTGAGACCTCTAGCCGGGGGGGGGGAGAGGGAAATGCCTCCCAAAAGGTATGGTTTTCCCCGTTTTTTATAGAATTCCTTATTTTGGTCTGGAATAGTCGAGTTCATTTGCCGTTTTAATTCCAAATGAATGAGAAAGAAAGAGTAATCCGTTCGCTTTTTGACGTTCTAATCTAAGTAATGATGAAAAAGAACCCTAGTACCAGTGGATTTTGTTTTTTCACGGTTCTTCGTTCTGATCAGGCTTTGATGAGATGTTTATCTATTGCAAGGTAAAACCGAGGTGTTAATAGATGTTTGTTCATTTTGTTGCGTTTTTTACTTAATGAAAATGGGAAAAAATCCGAAACGTGACATTTCAATAATTTAGATTGCAGAGATGGAAGACTGAAACCGCCAATTTGGTCCAATAAAATATCGAAACACACATACTTCTGGAAGACTACCGGAAGTGCGTGTACTGCCAATGCCTATGAGTCGTTTTTCAGCGATTAAAAAAAAAAAAAAATTGCTGTTAACACAAAGAGGATCAAATTAGCCGCCTTCTTTTCCAATAAAAGTAAGTTTTTTTTAAATTCAAGATTTTGCGAGAAATCTTGAACCGCTTACTGCTCATGAAACATTTTTTGTTAGTTATGCGAATGTGTGCTTCTGTGTTCCCTTTTAGTAAAGGTATATTTTGTTTGTTTTGTATTACGTAACCGTTTTAAGTTGACTGTACTTTTTTTTGCCATAGTACAAAATAAGTGGTGGCTCTGTTGATTAGTTTTTTTCGAGATAGAATAAGGGATTTAGAGGCAATGGATTTTTATAGCTTAAGTCGCTTCTTTTCGCATTGATTATTATTCGCTTTATTACTGAGCCTTTTAATAATTTAGCCAGCTACAATAAGCATTTTTAGAAACGTAATTACAACGCAAATGCGGCGGGTTCATGTACGTACTTGTTGTGAATACAAGAAAAGTATAAAGGCAGATTGCCAGCTATAGTACGTGGTTATCTTTGCCTGTTGGCCTTGACTCAACAGCTTAAAAGTAAAATCCAATGAAAGGATCAGCTAAATTTAGATATATATTTACAATAGATTTACTACTGACGGATCGAATTGTACATTTGTACTTAACCTTGACTTTAATAGCTGGTGTACCTATAGTCTGTACATGCTTCAAAATAGGATTTAATTGGTGTTAAGAAATTATCGGCTTAATCGAAAGTGGGTTTCCTTGAGAAAGAGGGGATCGGCTGAGCAACTTCTCAAGAGGGTAAAAGACCCCGATATATGTGAGCTCAGTAATAATTCCTTAACTTTCTATAGTCAAATGAAGCTGTGTCCATTCTCAATGCTGCTGAAGTTATTCGATATTATTATTATTATTATATATTATTATTATTATTATTATTATTATTAGGGAGCTTAAGCAACAACGAAGGAGACAACTACGAAAACGTTACTTAAAAAGTGAATTAACGCTGCCTCAAACCTTATTGCGCTTGTTCCATCTAGTTTAATTCCTCGTCAAACGTTGGCCAAGTTTTTTGGAGTTGAATTCTAAAGGACTGTATCAAAGTTCAGGAAAGGAAAAGGAAAGTTGTTGTCTTGTGTGAAATTAGACACTTTCACCTTGTAGTCGTGCAACGACGGCTAAAGAATGTGCAGAAAAGTGTGTTGTTGTTTTGCCAATCCAAACCCACTGCTTTTTTGTCGTTCTCTTTGCCGTGCCGTCGTCGTTAAAAAGTTAAACTCCCTTCGGATAACCAACAACACTTGGCCTATGTATGACTAGCTTTCTACTTAAAGATCTCATATGAGGACTGCCATTCTATTGTTTTTCACGTACATGGTAGCTTACGAGAGCCCATTCTCGTAAACGGCAGACTGTACTGTTGCGACCAGACTTTTTTGGATTCCCCAGGTGGTCGCTTACGAGAGCTCCGGCCGAAATCTGCTAATTCAGGTCCCAACATTGTTGGGAGCTTCAGTTGTATCCGTTTGCATACCACTGCCGCCAACACTGCCGCAACAACTCCCAACATTGCTGACACCCTGCATGTAGCTCAGAGCAACTCCAAGAGTAATCAAGTGGGTTCAAAAGGGTGCTACCTACCCAGTTTTTCGTTTGCTCCGGCTGCTAAAGAATCCACGATATAGATATTAACTTAGCTCTTGGTGATAAAACGCCCCACTTCGACAAGAAGAAAAATTTCTGATGAGTTCAAGACACCACCAGACGGTCAGTGTGATATGAAAACTAGATCCGGGTTCCAACTCACGATCCGGCATCATGATGCATAGCGCGCATTAAAAAGAGGTCATTATTCTCACTGGGAAAAACACGCACAAAAGCTTAAATTAGCATCAATGCACTTCCTAACATTCTCAGCGTGGCCCGGGAGAATACAAGGCATACCCACAGACCTTGTCCCTCAGTTTAAAGAGCAGCCTGCAGCTTGATTATTCAGCCAGTTCTGGTAAAGTTTTGGTCTCAGCACCCTCTCTAGCAGATCTCGCCCCACCATCCTCCCCTTAGTGACGGGGCATACGTCGTATTCTATTCTGGTCGAACCGACTCGCAAAGCCTCGGGCTGATTCTCCCATATCTTATGCATTTAGGCTCATTTGGCTTTATGTGCGGGTGTTTCGGGTGAGAATATATAGGGTTGTCCCACTGTCAATAAAAGTTTCCATTAAGAAAGCAGACAATAAGCAGTTATTGGCTACTCACACGTACATCAACTATCGTAGTTAGTGAGTGAAAACAATGAACAGTAAAGCTGATCGAAAAAGCAAATCATTTCCTTGATTGTATTCACCAATAATTGCCGTCTCAATTTGTGATATTGGGGAGCTTTCAAAGCTAAATGTCAGAATATTTCCTTTTACAGATACCATATAATTCCGCTTTTACGAGAGTTGAGTGTGAATTCTCAAGAGATACACCAAAAAACAATGGCTTGATCAGTATTTATGGAAAAGCATTAGAGTCGCTAAGCAACAGTTATTGAACTTATTGCATTCAAGTGGATTGACGGTGCAAATTGATCAATGTATTCACCATTTTACTCACAGACGTCAACACAAAAACTTTTATACATTAACTTAATCGCACGCAAGGTACTGAAAGCCTAGCGGGAAAGGTAAGTCTCAGAGAAGCTTGTTTGATCTTGTTCATGCTTAAAACATTTATATCACATTGTTCATTTAGCTTCACTGGGAGTCATTATCATTTGTTTGTCATTTGCTTAAGACAGTCTTTGTTCGTTTGTTTCTTTCTCGGTATAATATATTTGGTAGGGAACTTAGTAAACTGTTTGTTTACATTTTATACTGCGGCGGGGTTTTTACAGGATGTGTCATGGCAAAGTGAAAGAAACTGTGTGCACAAGTTCTCTGACAAGCCACGGTACGGAACGTGAAATAAATGAATGCAAATTGCTCGGCGACCGATCCACGTTTTGACAAAAGTTCTAACGCTGAGAGTAGTTTAATTTCCATACTTGCTGACCGGAAAAATAACTTTAGACCGAAGCGTAGCTGATTTGGCCGTACCAAATTCTGAAGACCAAAGTACCAGAAGTACGCGCAAATTATCGCCGGCTCTTGTTTTTTGGCAAAATCAAAGAAAAAACCTGCAAAACATGTACAGTCACGGGAGTGAAGTGAAGTGTTCAGCAGACGATTCTTTGTTAAAATAAGGATGACGAGCATTAGATTTAGGATATAACCAGGTTTTTTTCTTATTCCAGCGCAATATTCTATTTCAAGACTTCTTTCTTCGTACGAACCTAGCCAGCGGGCCATCTTTTATAACGTCACAGCTTGAATCAAAGTTAACCTGGACTGGAGTATGAGTGGCCATTTGAAAACTGTGTTTTTCCGTGATTGGGTTAACTGAAAGGAGTCTGAATAAAAACCTTATCGTCATCAAACTCAAAATAAGTCATCCTTGGAATTAGTTTCTAGAGTATATGCCAATTATAGGCTGTTTTTATTAACAAGAAAGTTTGGATAGAGTTGTTGTATCTATTAGGACAGGTCGGTGGACTAAAACGGCAACTAACTTGACACAGTAACGAGGTATCCGTAGGCGTCTTACTAAATTAACATTCGAAATGAAGACCAAGGGAGGATGACAACAGAAATGAAACCATTTTTTACAATGTATGTCAAAAATATGCGTGGCGACCATATGATATATACATACATACAACCTTTTTTTATACACGATATTAATTCAAAGCTACAGGCTTGTGGGGTCGTGTGCAAAAATTACAATTAAATAAAATATTAAAAGTTATTACTACTGAGGAATAAAATCGTTCAATCGTAGAATACACATGAGAAATTTAGAAAATGATATTCAAGAAAAGATGATTGTCTAAAGTTGCTAACTTTTCTTTTACACTGAATCAACTACGACAGAGGACACGACGTAATAATGTATATATGATGTTATGAAGAGCGTCCTTTATCTGGTTCAAAAATACAATATATTTCAAAAATCAGTTTGTAGGATAATTATTATTAGAATCAGCTGTGTGATCCGACCGATTATGAAAGGCGATGCATCTTATTGTTTTAAGTTTCGAAATGACATCCAGATTAACACTCACTGTATCAGGTGGCAATCTATGGTATTAACTACAAAGGCTTTCACATTTCAATATATTCCAAGAAAATATGGAGGAAAGGGTTATTTTCCCGATAAGAAGTTTAGGACGCATCCTGTCACTCGATTGCTTTGACTGGAACAACTGCAGGATTTCGTCGGATCTTTTACAAAAAAAAGAAAAAAAGAAAAGAATAAAATATCGCTGAGCTGGGTAATGGCTTTTTGATATTCGAGGATTATGACAGGTTACTGTCAAGTATATTTGCCGTTAAGTAGTGAAAATGCAGACTTAATGCCTCCTCAAAATGGATCTCCTGCACTTAGTAATACCAGTCAACAACATATCGTCTAATAGCCTTTTCCTTTATCACTGCACGATATCAATGAGAATTATCACGAGAACACAAATTAAAAACATCTGGGATTCTTTCAGTTTTGGACAGTTTTGGTTAAAAACAGAAAATGAGTCACAGTTTCTAAGCCGTTTTTATGCCGGTGTTTCTTTGTCTTATTTGATCTCCGAAAGTTCAATCAGTCCTTCTCAGTGACCGACGAAGGCTTTGAATTTGGTTTCTGGCTGGAAAAACTGATACCTTAAGGGTACTTTTTGAACTTTTTTGTCTTTTTTTCTATAAAATGAATTTAGTCAATTAGCTTAAAATGTGACCAATCAATCAAAGCTGTCAGTGGCGTACCATCTCAACCAACACAGACGGAAAATAAATGTCAAACCAAAGAGATTATACTCGTTTTAGAAATCATCAGACCGCAGATGGAAATTTTGTTTTGAAGCGTCCAGAAGTTCTTTTTACTAAGAATTACAAAACAAAATAACTGAATACTTAAGAAACTTTGTAAATCTTCACCTGAATCCCAGTTCACTCATTCATGCTTTTAGTAGATTTTTGCGCGGATTGCGAGAGAGTACGATAGCAGCAAATCACGATGCTTTTGGACTCTGCTGCTCTCTGATTCAGCATGACCGGCTTGAAAACAACGTTGCATTACGAACCATCGTAACAACTAAACTGAATTCGAGAAAAGGCAAGGCAAAACTACGAATGATCTCCCTCCAAAACGACATTAATCAATTAAACAGTGATAATTAAGAATACAAAAATTTAAAATTCTTTGTAAATTTTCCCGTAGATTGGCAAAATGTCTGTTGAAAGTGCCGACGCTGACAAGACAAATCCAGGTCCGCATAGCGTGCCTGAGTTCAATGTGCAAGACGTAGATGCCAATCAGAATAACAGGATAGACAGCTCAAGGACTCAGCTCAAGTCTGGTATAATTACAGAAGGTGATTCCAAGAGCACACAAAAATCTGGAAAAAGCCGACCTTCCAGTGGTAAGTATTGAATACAAATTTCTCTCCCTGTGGCTCTGTTGTTCAGTGAAGACATAAAAAAACTGACAAAAAAGTATCCGTATGAATTAAGAATACATAAAGCTATTTGACAAACAGGTTTTGATGTTTGGGCGCCTAGGTAAATCCGGGTAAAGGGATGCTTCGGGCTGGAACTTATCCCTAGTTTCAGGCAATTAGAAAGATAGAATTAGGTCGGTATAGTTTTACTAAATTTGCATAAGCAACAAAACTACTAACTCCCCACAGCTATAAAAGGCCTTAAAAATCAAGAAGATGAAGGCACTCTGGTAAAGTGACAAATTGACGTCCTATTTAAACAAGGTCAATGGATTGAAACATAAACTAGCCTTCTGTGTGCATATTTGCGCGTCAGTTTTGAATTTTGGGTTGTTTCACGGGCTAATGAAGCAGACAAGAATATTACACTAACGGCTGAAAATTTTCAGATTATAAATCTGCTTGCAAAAGCAAATTGTGTTCATTGAAAATATACTTTTTTAAGTTAATGCCAAAAATAAGTTTGGCCCGGCTTTTTAAGGAAATGCGCAAGGATTCAGTGAATAAATGAAACTCGGTTCCAATACTATCAAAATGTTACAAGAAGTAATTCGTATCCAGTAAAACTGCGCATTTTTTCCTACTTTGTTGTTTTGCAGCAAAATCAAAGCGAGCGGGTACTGGGAAGAGCAGGTTGACACCTGTCCCTACTCCAGCGGATGGTTCATCTAAGGCTGAACAAGCACTTTCAGATGGGGAACCTGCGGAGGACAGTGATTATGATACTGATTTGGACTGCGAAGAACCCCGAGAAGAATACGACCGCACAGGTAAACTGCACAATTTCACCAAGCACTGAGTAAATTTCAAGTGAAATCGCTGCAAAATGGTAATGTTTTTCGTGGCGTCAGCGTGGTTGCTTTTTTGTCATGCCCCTATTTTCGGGTTGTTAGCTATTGTTCAATCCTATGGAACATTGAAAACTGAATAACGAGGCATTACCAACTCCATTACAACAGGGGCGGCCTATGATCACACTGTGATAACCAGCTCTTAAGAAAATAACCAGGCTCTTTCCACACCCCACTACACGAAGTAAAATGAGTGGAATGAGGATACTGGGGATCTCCTCGGCTGGGTGATCAAACTACATGATTGCACAGGCTAGGTCCTTTACTGCTTATATTACGTGCAAGGGTTCACTATAAAAAACTGATCAAAACTGTACACAAGCAGAACGGTTTCTTTGCCCTTTTTCGCCTGTTGACTTTAGAACACCGACGTTTTCATATACAGTTAACTTTTAGGTAGATTTTTTCGCTAGTGTTGATTATCGAGTAAGTCTCACAAATCCAAGCCAGCAATACGGGACAACAGAAAATAGCTGTATCTCTATTATCTCTCTTTCTCTGCTTGCGGAACTGGCGTTGACGATAATCGGTTCATTGGCTGAAGATAACTAACTTAGGCATCCAATTGACCCTGCAGGTCGCAAAGCGTATATGGAAGCCTGTTCTCAACTGGGAATCATTCCCGTCTCATTTGTTATCGAGCACATCACACGGGAAAAGATTGATATTAAACATCATGGACTGGGACCGAGTGGTGCCCGGGCTATCGCGTTTGCTCTAATGAGAAACACCGCTACAACGACATTGAACTTACGGGACTGTGCCATTGGTAAGTTTCGATAATTGACTTAGGATCTTTGCATACTTATGAAACCCTACATCCCAATATACTTTGCTATTAATCATACAACTTCGTTTTCCTCAATCGCGTAAGAATGTCTCTTTTTTAAAATCTACAAAAGGCACTGAATATCATGATAAGTTCCCTTGAACGTATTCTGCTCTCACCGTAATAATCAACTGTATAAAATACTCCTCTGTGTAATGCAAAACGTTCTTGCAGCACGTCTGTACAGGTATAGATTTTCTCAAAGTCCTTCGCTTCTCGTTTCCGGTTCCGGTAGAAGGCCCCAGCGCGAAGAGCTCCTGCTCTCTCACTCCCGCTTTGCCACCGAAAACATAAAAAATTTCTAGCTCGCGCTTTATGCGCTCGAGAAAAATTTTGAGCTCGACTTTTGGGCAAGTCTAGTACAGGAGGAGCCGTCTTTTTAAAGACAGTTATTTTTCTTAATTTTATATAGGACCCGATGGAGCTGGCTACGTCTCTAGGATGCTTAAGGAAAATTTTTACATCACCGAGTTGGACTTGGCTCAAAACAAAATAAAGAGCCCTGGTGCCCAGGCCATTTCCGAGGTGCTCACTGACAATAACACCATCAAGAAATTGAACCTGTCGTGGAATGATTTCAAAGACAAAGACGCCGAATGTCTGGCAGAGGGAATCCGTGTCAATCAAACACTGTCATGGCTTGACTTAAGTCATAATGGGTTCGCAGAAGAATCTGGGTTGTTATTGGGTTAGAATAGTCTTCTTTATCCATATACAGTCCACTCTCGCCTTGCTATAACGAACACCCCAATTATCAGGGGCACCCAACGACGGTTTCCTCCCAAATACATTAAAAACACTTTTTAGACTATCCAGGGTACTTTTAGATGTCTAGAAATCCATTCTAAGCGGCACTATAAAATTTGTATCTGTTCGGTCATCCGAGGGGAACTTGAGTCTTTTCGAAATTACAAGAGCCTCAGTATTATTTTCCCGAAAATTTTAGAGGCAATTTAAAGTATGACGAAAGTGATAATTTTTCTTATTTCCCTCTCCATCATATTTTTGGATCCGAAAATTTTAGGTGTCCTTTTTTCTACGTCCTCAAGTAATAGAGAATTCTAGGTAATATCTGCTTCTCTGAACAGATATTTACAGAAAACAGTCGTTGGGTGCTCATGAATTATAGAGAGTAGCTAAATCCCAGGCAAAAATTTATTGCCGATGTTTGTCTTAAATAAAATCCGGCTATTACGGCTCTTGGTAATGAGGTGGACACTAAGTCAAGGTCCCTACAGTGCCCGCTACATGGGAGTTGACTGTGGGGCGAAAAGTACAGCCATTGTACATTGGAGCTCCGCTGTATGGACATCCGCTTAATACGGACACCGTTATAAGGGAAAGTTTCGTTTGTCCTAAATAAAAGCTCATGTATCATCTTTAAAAAGTTTTCTCGTGAAAATATGTGCTTTCGTCGATAAAACATTTCAGTGTAACCACGGCATGTCCCCTTGGTATACCTGTTACCAGGGTTTCACGATACCTCATTAGGGACTAATTTGGCTATCTTAATCAGGTCCAAGGTAGTTTCCTTGCCCCCCTTTTTTCGTAGATCTCACGAGCTGAATGAGTTCTTAGACAATGCTTAAATAGTTCTCAAATTGTAGTCCATCCAATAGCTGCAAATGAACGTCCTCATGACGTTAGAAGAGCCTGTCCGCAGACGTCTCAAACCGTAATGAAACGTAACAGATCTTATGAATCAACACCTTCTAAGGGGTGGACCGTTAAAAAAAGTTATTGCGGGGTTGGGAATTTTCGAGCTGCATGAATATTTTTCTTACAATTTCCCTTATTTCTTTAGTTAATTTTCCCCTTACATCAATATTTTTGGACTTCGCCCACCCCTCCCACACTTTTTCATTAATGGTCGACCCTAATACAGTTAATTCAGTCATTCTGTTTTCTTTCCTAGGACCTGCTATTGACGCAAACGGTGGATTGGAATATCTTAATCTTAGCTGGAATCACTTCCGAGGCAAAGGAGGCGTGGCCATCGGTAAAGGCTTACGTGCTAACTGCAGTCTACAGACATTAGACATTTCTTGGAATGGTTTAGCTGATGAAGGAGCTGCAGCGTTCGGAGAATCTCTTAAGGAAAATAATACATTGATTGATTTAGATTTAACCAACAACAGAATTTCCACCGAGGGAGCGTTGGCATTTGCTAAAGGCCTACAAATCAACAATACTCTTAAAATATTAAGGTTTGTGACTTAACAACAACAACAACAACAACATAATAATAATAATAATAATAATAATAATAATAATAACAATACATTTTAGATAGCCAAGGCTAAAACATATAGAATCATGAGAAAATATTGAACGAAGTTGTAATAAATAAACACATTAAACCATTTTTCAAGTTATATTTTGTAGCTGAAAATCTTCCCCTCAAATTCGCGCTCATGTTGGTTTCTTTTTACAGTCACAGTACATTTGACAGTTACAATGTTACCTTCCAAAAGTTTCTGAGTAGGGCAAAGGGCAAGAGTACACCAGTTACCAGCGTTAGGCCGGTTGGTTATGGGGGTGGAGGGGGAGGGGCGCTATCAACAACCTTTTTTATTCTCGAAATGCGAAGGAATCTAACTCAGTATTAAGGAAAAATATAACGATTTAAATTTTTTTGAGTTTCATGTTATATGGGAGTAGAGGGATGTTTTCTTGAAGTGCAAAAGTGTCTTGCTCGATTTTACAATCAAAATTAGTTACATCTTTGTACTTTTTAATTTCGTATAGCTCCACACAGTAATTTTCAAGGAGTTATAATAACTCCTCTAGTGGGGTTAATTTAACTCCTTACAGTGGAGTTATTTTTCGGGGTCGAAGTTATTTTCACTCCAAAAAGGAGTTTAAAGAACTCATTTTCAGGAGTAAAAATGACCCCAGATATTGAGGAGTTAAAATGACCCCCAAAAAGGAGTTATCCTGTACCTAAAATTTTTACTCCACTTTCAGAGTTAAAGTAACTCCAAAAAGAGTAAAACCAACCCATGTAAGGAGTAAAAATAACCCCATTTTCGGAGTTATTTTAACTCCAGACGGGGTGTAAAAAGAATTTTTTTTCGGAGTGAAAATGACCCCAAATTTGGAGTTAAATTAGGATTTAAAGCAACCCCCAAAAGGGGGGTATCCCGTACCTAAAATTTTTACTCCATTTTGGCGTTATAATAACTCCCTAAAAATTACTGTGCAGTTTTTCAAAATCATAAGCTTACAGGATGACCCTAAAGAGGGGTGGATACAGTGCTGATTTAAGTTTTTTACCTCTCCTGTAGAATTGGGCTGAATCCACTGCAAAATATCGGTGCTTTTGGTCTTCTCACAGCAATGAAAAACAATGTGGACTCTGCCTTGGAGCAAATTCTTTTCAACAGCGTCGTGGTCAATTTAGAGACTCAAGCACTCGTGGAATTGCTTCTGGGACAACATCCGGGACTCACAATCACGTGCACTTTCAGCAAACGGTCTGACAAACCGGATCCTCTCGACGAACGATTTGGAAATAACAAGGGGAATGAACTGATCTACATCCTCAAAAAATATGTCGAGGATAAAAATTACCGGTTAATAGACTTGTTTAACCAGTTTGATAAGGATAACAGCCTGTCGGTAACTAGAGAAGAATTTAGAATGGGCCTTAAGAGCATTGGAGTTCCCATGACCGATGACCAACTGACGAAGCTCATTGACATGTTAGATGAGGACGGCGATGGAGAGATTGACTATGGTGAATTCACTTGGATAAACGAAGTTGATTAAACAAGGTGTGATACAAGACTATAACGCGATCTGACATCGATGCGATCGAAAGTCCAGGAAAGTTTCTGAAAGTAAAATAATCGAGAGCTCAACAAAGTCAGGGTGAGTTAAGCGATCTGGTGGAATGAGAGCCCCTGAAAATGAACACTGCAAAAATTAAGCTGATAAATGCGCTTAAGGAAGAACAAGAAGCCAAAGGAAACACTAATAAATGGCTTTATCGATCTAACCAGAGTCGATTCTATAGGCTCTTCCAAGTTTGAGGCTTATCATTAACTGTGAAGCTACAATAGTTGTGACTTTTTTTTTGAAATTAAATCTGTGTTCCATAAACTCTTTAGTTTTGCCTACTGTACTATGGCTTGAGAGGAAACTTTAACGTTAGCTTCAAATTATAACAAACACTAAATAAGTCTCACGTGCGACTTTGACAATTCAAAGTTTTTAGGGATAAAGTTTGAAAAATTGTGAGCCTGAACAGTTTTCAAAAACTCCAATTACAATCCTTCTTTTATCATGATGTTTATACAATTCTTCAAGTTTTCCAAGGCATCCGTCCGTTTTTTGTATTTGCACTGCTAATTATTTAAATGTCCTTTGACTGTTTCAAGCAGTTATTTATATTTAACTCAATTTGATGGTCAATTCCTAAAAGGTATGAACTAGAACTATGAGATATAGCTCCTTTCAGATGTTTTCTAATGACAAATAGGAAGACCTTCATGTAGCCTACGTGTAGCCGCACACTCCCCCCGACAAAGGAAAAACGGAGAGAGGGAGCTCCCCTTTGTCGGGGGGGAGGGGGAAAGGGTGCGGCTTACCCTCATGGTCTAAACGACCTAATAAATATAGACTCGATATAATGAAAGTTTAGATCTAATGGATAGGAATGAGTTTGGAAGGAAATAAACATTGTAGATATGATCAGGACTAAAACGTCCTTTTCTCTCTCTTTTCTCATCTTTTTTCTCTCTTGGTTTTACACAACTGCAATTGTTAGCTCCGTGTTACATTCCTAGACTTTCACCCAACTTACCCATCTAAACAGGGACTAACAATGGTCACGTGGCCTTGACTAAGTTCATGTTTATTTCGATCGTGATATATTTAACAATTACTCCACGAGGGCGCGTTGGATATGAGATGATAGATGGCCGACGAGGCGCGTAGCGCCGAGTTGGCTATAATCGTCTCCTATCCAACAAGCGCGAGTGGAATAATTGTTTTTTTAAAAACGCCCACAAAATCTCGCTGAATCTCCCCGACTAGAACAAACCGGAAAAGACAAGGGACTTCCGCTGTTGACATGTCACACGTCTATCAAAACTGTCAACGCGCGAATAGACTCGCCTGGACTGCATGAATGAAAAATCAAAACATTGTAACGATGAACATTAGTTATTTAAAAACTCATCGGGATTCTAGGATTTTACACAGCAGAACAGCTTGAAAACCTGGCAGATAATGTGAAGGAAAAGAAGTTTTAAGTGACAGCAGTCGAAATTACTGTGAATTTGGATTTTTCGGTGCAGTTATAAAAGTAAGAACAACGGAGAAAAACTATTACCTCGGTCGCTTGTTATGAAGTTGTTTGAAGCCACAAGCTGGTTTTGCTGAACAAGAAAAGAAGCTATACTGCCGCCTCGATTTCTCTAGTGAATGGCTGCATAGCCTGTATTTGTAGCTGGTTACTTGTGATTTATATTCTTGATGTCGGATAAACAAGCCGCAGTTATCTATCGGCGAGTGACTCGATCGGCGAATGGCTTCGCGATCATGAAGAAACAGCTCTTGTCTTCTTGCGTAGCTGGTCAAGGTACTTTAGTTCCATGTGTTTTCATGTGTTTTTCGATAAACTTGCAAACAAGCTCTTGAGGCTTTGTTGTTTGTTTTTGTCTTTTTTCTATGGATGAAATTGCATTTCTAGTATTCTAAGAAATGAATTAAAACAATTTGCTTGCGGGCGCCGTTCTAACCTTCGCGAAAAAAAATCTCAGCTAGCTTCCAATTTTAAACTGACGCGTACACCGACCATATATGGAGAGCATGGTATAATGGCTCATATACCATAGCGGCTGAGCCAATCAAAATGCTAGAATTGCATTATCCAATGATTCAGTTTTTAATAATCAAATTTATACAATGATTTGAAAGCTACGCACGCTGTGATTGGTCGTTGCCTGTGATCTATCAGATACAGATACATGGATGACGTCACGGAAAGTTTGTTTCAAGTTCTTTGTTTTGTTCAAAATGGCGCGCGGTTTTGAAAATTTTTGTGAGATTATTTCGGATTAAAGCAAGTGAAACTTCGAACAAAATCTTAGCAGAAGCTATCTACAAAGAAAAAAAATGGAAAAACGGAGACATTTAGAGCTCTTTACAACTTGAGAAGGCCTAAACTACAAGAAATTTTCACAACAGTTGCCATCGTGTGTCATCGCTACGAGAGACTCGCTGTTTTGCAAAATGTTTTTGCCATTATTAATATTCTGCTTCGAGCAAGAAAAAGTGTTAAAAAACTTTTCTAAGAAACTAGTACTGCATACAAGTAAAATAAAGATAAAAAGAAGAAGCAGAGACGAAATATAACGTCTGGGACCAAAAAGGCCCAGACTAGCACAAATCTTCGAGCAGTCAAGCGGTACGAGGCAGGTATGTATATCAATCTTTTTTCTTTTCTGATCATTGTATAAAACAAATAGATTCCATGTTTCCGTGGGTCTTTTCAGCAATAGATCACAGGTGACGTCAAAATCTGGTAAAAACATCACTGCCACTTCTTTGTTTTTACCGCATTTTGACGTCATCTGTGATCTATTACTGAACAGACGCACGGCAACATGGAATCTATTTGTTAATCAGTTGTACTCTTCTCGGGATACAACAGCACGTGATCAAAGCATGGTGGAAAGTGGCCTGATAGAAGGCGGGAAAACACTGTCAATTTGATAACTTTGATAAATCCCAACACAAAAAGGCAAATCGAGCCTCAAGCTAAAAAGCAACGATTCGAAGTTATCCAAGACGAAATACGGCAGCTGGTAGGGTGTAGGAAAATGATGAACATAATACAAGGAAAGTACTATGTAGATCATTCATTCAGTGGTTTTGAGAATTAAATTCGTGTACCGACCTGTGAAAGTCTCACGAGTACAACATAACATTTAATACCAGGTCCCTCAGGAAAAAAGACAGTTTTGTTTTCCCACGACTCTTGATGTTTCGCTAGACTTTGTCTCGAGAAGCATCAGGACTCTGGAGAAAACAAAACAAACTCTTTCAGCGCCACGTTATGTTCTATCTATTACGTAAACATCAAGAAAATACCAAACATTTCACTTTTAAAATATTTTTTGCTGCGAAAGGCGCAGGAAACATGATATCTCAACACGTGCAAATAACATCACACGTGAAAGCAACGGTGATCCTTTCACGTGTGATGTTATTTGCACGTGTGGAGATATCATGTTTCCGCGCGAAAGCTAACCTGTTATTTCATTGGTTGTTATATAATAAGTTTTAATAAATCATCCTATATTACTAAACCCAGGCCCCAGTTCTCGACGAAACCCTGGACATGGTTAAATATACTTGAAAACAAGTGCAAAAGAAAAGCCCTGTTCAATTTTGCATAGTGCCAAATCACTTGTACTTGTTATCCCAGGAAAAAAACTATGGTAATCCTTACTTATTAGCTTTCAAGGGCTGTTTTTATAGGACTAAACCCAGGTCCAAGTTAAAGACCAGACTTTTTATCATAACGTCATCTTCTGTCTTCGTCGCCTCTCAGTAGAATCACGGCATGGTTGTGCAACGGATGAATAAACATTTTAAACCTGGATCTTTTGTTAAAGTTCGTCATGCGGCAACATTCAGTACAGGACATCGTATATTTCGGTTCTGAAAAGGCAGCAGTTATTTTCTGTTGCATACTAAAACACTTACATGCAAAGATTGAGGTAATCACAAAAGGTTATGCAACCGACAAATTAAACAAACATTTAAACCTGGCACGTTTGTTAAAGTGCTTCATAGGGCAACATTCAGTACAGATCGGATATTTCGGTTCTGAAAAGGCAGCCGGTTCTATCATCGTGACTGTTTTTCAGCTTGTCTCAGTTATATTCTGTTGCATGTCAAAACACTTGCATGCAAAGATTGAGTTAATCACAAAAGGTTATGCAACCGACGAATAAAAATTTTAAGCTGAACTTTTGTTAAAAGTTCATCATGAGGCAATATGCAGTCCGGCAGGACATCGGATATTTTGGTTCTGGAAAGGCAGCAGTTCTGTAATCGTGACTGTTTTTCAGCTTGTCTCAGTTATATTCTGTTGCATGTCAAAACACTTGCATGCAAAGATTAAGTCAAATCCACCCATAATCTCAATCACACGAGTCCGGCTATTTTAGAATTTTTTTTTGTTTGGATTGATCTCTCAATGACGTAATACTGGATGAAGTGCGATTACAGTGGAACCCCGTTAATACGACTACTGTTGGGCCATAAAATCCTGGTCGTAATAACGAGGTGGTCGCATTACAGTCAAACCAGGTCAAGCGTTCCCGTCGCTAACGAACTAATGAATTCATTCACGGAAAAATGATTTCGTTTGTTGATTCAATAATCCATTCATAAAATGAACAATCCAATAGTCATATTTTGCCTCGATTCCATAATCGAATGTTGATTCGATTACTGTTTTTTGAAAAATTACACTTTCCACAAGTTGACCTCAGAATTTTGTTTTTTCCTCTTTTTTTTCTGAACGTCGAGTGCTGGCGAGTTCTGAAGTTCAAACCCAAACAAACTGTTACATGTACGCCAGTTTGCTGCCAGTAATCATAGTGCAACAGACCTAGGCCTGACCTCTTAGAAAACACGACGGTCAAACTGAGGTCAGTGTATGTGCGGTGATTGGTGGATTTCGATCCTCGGCCTTTGTCAGTTTCTTTGCGTTTGCGGTCTGTCTATTCTAGCTGTTATTTTGATTAAAGGCAATGAAAAACGCAATCGTAAACGGCAGGAAAAGGGAAGCAAATACGATTGAACACAACAGACAAGGATAAAGAACAGGTAGATTTTGTTCATAAACCAAATCAACATTTGATTATTGAATCGAGGTACAATTTGACTTTTGGATTATTCATTTTTTGAATGGATTTTTGAATCAACAAACGAAATCATTTTTCCATTAATGAATTCATTAGTTTGTTAGCGACGGGAACGCTTGACCTGGTTTGACTGTAACGGGGTCTTCAAAATAATAAAATGAGTCAGTGTTTTTTACGTTTGGTTTGAAAGAATATGGCCGTAATAACGAGGTGGTCTTATAAACGGGGTGGTCGTAAGGCGGGGTTCCACTGTATTTCAGGTAGGACCAAGGCCTCAGATCAACTGAAGCGTTTTTAAAAAGCTTCAACGCCCGTTTTCATGTGGAGTTTACTTTCCCGTGATGCTACTTATTTCTTGTTTTCAAATTTGTTTAAGGATCTATCGATGCAAAAACAACAAAAAAAAGAACAAAGGGTTGTTGAGTTGAAGGCGGAGTTTTACTATTTAGCGTCTCACTGCTCCTCCTAGTTCAAAATAATTGTCTACCTTGAGTGAATAACGTTTTAAAGTTAATTGCATGACTGTAAGACTACGTTTTATACCTATGGAAAATAATGATTGATGTTTTCTACAAATTAAACATTGCATGCTTGACTAGACTACCAAGAGTTTCTGGGCTTGCCGTAATGTTATTACATTATGTGTCACATTCCACACTCAATTCTACATTTCGACGGGTTGCATAATGGGTTACATAATTTCCGGAACTAAATGCACTAAATTTCCATGTTCTGGGTGAGCGAAACACAGGTAAAGTGTGTAGGTAAACGGATATTTGAAGCTGGACTTTTATCAACTGTCGACAACTTTGTTTGTGTCAGTTCCAACGAAACCACAAACACCTAAAATTAAATTATCGTTGGCCTCTAGAGATTTTCATTAACATATTTTTTTCTTTTTACATGGAAAATGGTAAATACCAAGAAAATGGATGTTTAGGATAAATTGTCGCAATACGTGCTTGTCATGAAAATATGCCGGATGTTTTTTCCAGCTCGTACGTGCTTGAATTCACATCAAAACTTACTGAAGTACAATCAGCTACACGGATATCTTACTAATTTGCTTTAGGTTTAAGGCAATGCACTATTAACATGACAATAACAACGACTTTTTATTGTTCTATGGTCCACGATGAGTACAATAGCTGTCACATTGTTTTTTGTTGGTGCCATATGAGTTATTAAACGTGGATGAATAGAACCATCTATGGTTTTCTTGGGAACCTGTTTTCAAGATTAGTTACGGATAGACCCATTGTCTTATTGTACGGCCTACAATGAACAAGGAATGTCAAGTACTTGGTACCTTCTTCAAAAGCAACAAAAGGCCTTGTGTTGGAATTTTTTTTGTCAGTTACTTGAAATCGCGAGAATCAAAACACCTGGATTGACGCAGGTCATGAGGTAAGGCCGAGGCTTTAGGCCCACGTAACACATAGCAGAAATGCACTATCCTCCAAGCCACATCATTTCGATAGTAACATAAGGTAGACACTATCTTGCAAAAGCCGGTTGAAGAATTGTTTTATTAATTCCTGAAGCAGGTTGTTTTGTCTGATTTGGGGTCTAAGTTACTGAAAATTTTCCCGAACGCCAAGCTTAATGGTTGGGTTCAAATAGACCGAGTGTCTTCGATGTGCGTGCCGTCAAAAGGGGTGCAAAAGGCATTTGCTTCAGTTAAAAACATGATAGCATAGATGTTAAAATACAGCGTAAAGAGTTTTTGTTTAAAGTATTGACACGTATTTTGAAACTTCATCAGTAAAAACCAAGGTATGTAGAAAAACAAAGCCTGCAACCGTAGCTAAAAGCTGGTCCTGCCCCCAAACCGAATTTAGACCTAATTTTCACGAACAAAACTAAAGGGCTTTTGATTCGTTTATATTATACTTGCGAACATAGGGCTCGCCTTTGAGCATGTTTACAATCTTCAACGATCCTCGACGTGGTCAAGTTTCAAGGTTCAATACGTAGCAACGCCAAGCAAAATTTAAAGGCTTAGTGAGGGAATTTTGCGGCCGGCTACTTTTCCTGGCCTTGGAAGTATTTTTCAGTCTTTCGTTTCCTGACTTTTTTTCCTGCTCTTGTTTAATCATAGCTCTTAAAGTTTGGATTCGAAGATTTTCATCTAGGAGTAACTCAAAACGCCTGGCCCGATGGTTCAAGAAATGAAATACTCGTCAACAGAAATCACTACTGAAGTGAATTTTGCCGAAGTTGAGCTTCGCAGTAAAGAAATGGAAAAACTTCGAACCTTTTCAAGATCTCTTGAAAATCTCAACTCGGAGACTTTATATAGCAAATGGAAACGCTCGCGAGGCGATGGAAGCAAGTCTGCGCGACGCCCACGAAGTATATCGCTCACGACAGCACCAAAAATCACTTACGCGAACAGTGAAAACAAGCCACAGAGCAGAAGCCCGGCCCGGAAAAACAGCTTTCACGTTCTGCAAGAGAATGTTTTCAGACCACGCTTTTGGACCATTGGAGCGAGCCCTATGGAAGTTATCAAGGAGCATAATGCAATGCATTCCCTTGATCTCAACAATAACACCAAAGAGTCAGGTGCTCAGTGGGAAGCAAGAAGAAGAAAGCTAGGGCAACAGTTTCGAGTAACTCTTGGACTCACAGATAAACAACACCATCAACCGCCTGCTGTTAAAAACCTCATGGAGAGAACAAATGGAACCGTGGGAGAAAGGAATCCTAGCAGAGGAAAAGACGACACAATTCGGTCGAAAACTTTGCATACTCCTCAAAGGATACGAAGAGTTTCCGAAGACTCCCGAGAGAACGAAAGCTCTCCGATAGTGGCACAATTTGTGAGCGAGGAAGATAAGTCACGCCAAATAACCAAGTCGAATGTTAGCATAGTTGCAAGTAACCCGTTTATAGAGTTACTGCGAGTCGAGATTCCACCGCAATCCAGGAGCACGCCTGCCTCGCCAAATTTTCTAATGCGCAAGCCCAATGATGCGTGGGACTCAGTTGAGAACAAAACAAATCCTTCAGGGGGGCAAAACAGTACAGTTGTCAAGGATGCATCAGAAATAAGAGCTAACAAAGACAAGTTAAATTCATCACCGAATACTTTTTCACTTGGATGCGCTTACGCCGTAGTCAGTCAACCGTCGCCACGGACTAAAGATAACCGTGACAGTGTTGCGCCAGCGGCGAAAATGAGCAATGGAATAACGAAAGAGCAACGAGAAGAACTTGAAGAAGAGTTTAAAAAGTTAAAGAAAGTTTCCCTTGAATTGGACAAAGCTGAAATTGAGGAACAAAGATTGAACAAGCTTAATACTTTACCAGAAGGTATCTCCCAGGACGGTTTGGACTCTCAGCCGTTCCGGCGCTTCTCTGAACTGAATAACTCTTTTACCTCAAGGCGGAACTCAGATCGACCAACAGCTAGAGCTCTTTTGGAAATTATCGCGAACTCCTCAAGTAAAACAGAGAAAGAAAGAATTCAACAAATCGAGGAGGCTTTCGAGTGGATCAGGAAAGAGCTCGCCGAGCTGCGAGCACAAGATAAAGACATCATGCGGACATTTGCGAAGATTCAGGCAGGAATACGGAAAATCAAACTTCAACGAGCCCTAAGTAGTGACATGGACGAACCTTACGAGTTTGACATTGTAGACCATTCAATCGACTTGAGTGCTAGCTTTTCTTACGTTCCTGTAGTTAAAGACTTTAATAATACTTTTCCAAGACGGGCTAGCCTGATCTAATTGCCAAGTGAACTGAAATAAATACCCCAGTGAACTGGTTCCAGGTTGCTCATGAGTTCAGATGTCAAATAGGATTTTTTTAATACAAGGCAATAAACAGGCTTGTTCGTCAGTTTGGAAAGCCGGTAAGTTTGGTTTCCTGTGGTGCAATTAGTTTCTGCCACACACACTAACTATTGAGGCAAGCTTCAAAGCTAGTATATTCGAAGTTGTTCAGTGCAGATGCCCAGTCCCAATTCAACAATAAATTCATTCTAGTCAGCATATCGCAAAATTATGTGACAGACGGTTTATTAACTGGAGCCAGTTACGCTATATACACGTGTCACGATGGCGGCTATTAGCTCAGGGATACATAAACTGTCGGTTAGTAAGAAACAGACTGTGTCCTCGGTGGCTTAAATTGTTGAAAAACGTAATAACACCTGATTTGGCAGGATTATTTGCCAGACGAAATTTTTTTAGAAGCCATAAATTGTCTCGGTCGTAATCTTCCAACGACATTTCCAATAGTGTGGTATTGTTATGGGGAATTTGAGCAATTTGTGCAATGGTCTAGTGGTCTGACGGAAGGAACTTTTGAACTTGTGTTATTTCCTTTAAGATGCTTCAGCTAGATAAGTTTCTTTCACCGAGAGTTTCGATGTTAATTTTTTTGAAAACGTAGGGCACATTTCACGCTTGTTGATCGATCTGTGTTTGTTTGTTCGCAGCGAGTTCATATAGTGCTAACTGAATGCAAATAATCCTATTGTTGTTAAATGCATTAAAGTAGGACAATGGATGTGTAAATCGACTGAGATCTGTTAATTACTGCAATGGTTGTTCAGTTTCCGGTGCCACGAGTAGCTCCTACATTACTGTCCGGTGCACGTGAGTTACAATTTCAGTGATTTAAGCAAGTTGTGGATCCCACTTTGAGAATAGCCTTATAGTCTATTAGGAACCCACCTCACTTATTAAACCCTTTAAAGACGGCCAGCGAGTAGCGAAAATAGGACCCCGCATTTTTCACCAGTTCCTCTTTTTTGGAATGATTTTTGGTTAATTACATTGGGAATGGCTAAAACTGAGTTTTGCAACCGTAAGAGCTTATTTTCTGACAAATAGGTTGTCTCGCGCATGCTTTGACTTTTTGGCGAATCTATTTCGATTCATCGTTCTCGCTCTCCTTTCTCTGTTTTATCCAGTGTTGTTGCCCACTTTCTCGTCTTCCTTTTGCGTGGAATTGTGGCTGGTTAGCTTTTTAGTAAGGGGAGAAATCTAATCTACAAGAGCAGTAGGTAAATGGCGAAATTGGCAACTGATTTTTCCACAAAATGTTACTTGGTTTTTTGTTTTTAACTCTGTCAGGAATGGTCAGGATTGGTCAGGATTTTCGGTTATTCTCCCTCGCAGCCGTTTTTTGGATGTCCCGCAATGTTGGGGGAACAAACGACCCTCGCCGTCCGAAAAGAATTAACAGGTTAATACTAAAAAAAATAAAGTTGTCAATCACATTACTTAATGCGCAAATGGCAACAGGGTGTAGCTAAAACATTGTCTTCACTAAAATGCAAAGCACATGAAATCACCACTAAAAATCACTTCCGGTTGGCTTATTACGTTAAAGTAGGCAAGGGCATTGGTGAAAGATCATTAAGTAGACATTGTACATAATCGACGTTTAATTATCTTCATTGCTCATTTGATTTTATTAAAGGGTCAAGCAAATTCCTTTAAGTCGTTATCTGTAACACACAGAATTATCATTTATGTAGATTTTACCATAAAATTGTCTGAGTTGATATATTTTAAAAACCTTGTCTATAAGTTTTTACCTTACACATGTTTTTCTACTTTTGAAACTCTAAGTAAGCGTTAACGCATGTTCATATACAAATATCCAAATCAGCTAGTACAAAACAGTACTTGCTTAGTACGCTTCATGTACAGCGAATCGTCAGTAATTATATTGATTTTTAACCAGTGAAAAACCTGATAGATAACTTAAGCGGTGGAGCGCTCAAGTCGCTCTTCATCCCACATCCTTTTCTCTAAGACGCTTGAAGGTAAAGAAAAGGAGAAAGTCAAACGGTACATATGTAGTTCGATCCGGCTTAAGTGTACACCAATAACAATTATGAGATTGATAAAATAACGGTTGATTTCCGGTTTGTCCGTCATTTGTACGATTGTGACAATAAAAAAGCACGGCTGTCGGATTCTATCCTACAAAACAACTGAATTAATATATAAAATCAAATTCATAGCACGTACTATCTATTTACATTGTGAATCACTATATAATTTCTACTACTTTTTCTCTTTCCAAAATTATTCACTAAACCATAAATACAGTTAACAAGAGACTATTTGAAAACAGATCAACTTCTTAATACATGACCTTTTCACTTATTTTAAAACCTCTAACCATTCGGAAAGAAGAAAAAATGAATGTCTAATTAGTTCTTTTAATCGTAGCCTTTAGGTAACTTCAGTTTTCTTATGGTCAAATAGAGCAGTTCAGACTTTTTAATGACGTCTAAAATCACTTGGGCTGTGCCTCACGTTTCTATCTTTTATAAAGAGTCACTGCTTGTCTTTCAAACAACAAATAACTTTAAAAGTTGATTTTATGTTAGAATACCAACAAACTTCTACTTGCAGTAGTCACGTATAGACGCTCATCCCTCTTGCACAACGCTTCATAATCTAAAGATATTAAAGACATTACATGTAAGTTTTTTTGAAAGTCTTCGTTTGAAGTCTTCAAGAGTTTTTAATCTTGTAAAATACCTTAACACATTTAAGTGTACTGGGGAGTTTCATTCCTTTTTGTTCTTAATACTATTAAACCAGTAATTCTTCAACAGACTGAAGGTAAACGCTGCCATCAAAAAGTTTCGTCGTGGAGATTCTTTTTTTAGAGGATATATTTTCAGGCCTGACTCGTCCCCAGTCGTCTCTCAGTCTCCGACAAGGACATAAGGGCGGTCAAGGGGAGCGCGATCGCGAGGGATGACGTTTTCCTCCTTCCCATCCCCCTCGCGCTCCCTTCTGTCACGCTTCTCGCCTTCCGTTCTCAGCGTGCGACCTAAATAGAGACGACAGGGGACGAGGCAGCTTTAGGGCAGGTTCGGTTTTCGCCGATCTTTCGGATCTGTTTTCTTCCCTTGAGGGAAAAATCGCGGGCTAATTGATTCTCTCGATCAGGTGCTGTAAATCAACCCTAATGTTCGGATATAGCTTTACTCTCATTATGTCTCACGGCACTTACGTGTGCAGAAGGGTGGGGGGGAGGGATGGAGTAGAAATATTCCTAGTCGCTTCACGCCACGCCATGGAAATTAAGACAAGCTCCAGCCTGATATCATAGGGCCTTTGGCTCGTACTCAGACTTTACTAACACGGTTTTACCAGCTGGAGCAGGACTGTAAAAGGAAGAGCCTGCTTTTTTTCAGAGCCATCTTCAGTTTTTTGTTTAAAATATTTGCGACTCTTCTCACGTCACTCAAAACTCTTTTGAGCGACCGGTAAATCATTATAGTTTTCCTATTTCTTCATCAAGCCCTTTATTTGAAAGGCGACAAGAGTCTGAGAAGCTCTCTTTTTTCCAACAGATCACAGCGCATATATCAAAAACATATTCCCTCTACTATTTAAGTAGTCATGCAGTACCATAAGTTATACGTGCTTGCCAGCATGTGTCTCAGCGCTCAACATTACAATAGTCGGATTATATTGAATAAACTCACAAAACTTTGTTTCGCAAATGCCAATATATCAGATTTTATCCACACGACTGAAAGAACGTGATTCTTGCCCGACTCACAAATACACAATAAATTACATAGGATTAGCTCTGCTCTAACGATTAGCCAATTATTCCTAGCCAATTACTGCCACGTTTCTTGCCTGTGTTAACTCGTATTAAGTCCATTTTCGTCGCAAATATATTTTGGTAGCTGTTGGATATTAAAAAGAGCACGTCAGTTTTCACTTTAGGATCTCGGTAGCTGTGTGATCGCGCGCGGTGACACGCGAATGAACCATAATCATGAAAGTTCCGGAACGAGCTAATTATTTCCTCTTCCGTGCGAACGCAAATAAAAGTTCCAAGATACAAAAAAACGAGAAGTTGAATTTACGTTAAGAAAAAGAAATAAGGCAGTTTAATGTGCTTCGTAATCATTACATGTCTGGACATGATTCTCATAGCAGAAATAAAATACAAAAGAAAATAAAACAAAACAAACGAAAAAAAAATCGCAGGAGGTTTGGCATACTTAATAAAAAACTCTAGATACAATTTTTTTGTGTGTTCAGCTTTATGGACAGAAAACAAATCATTCAATTAAAAATAGTTAAATGAGTACAACTATTATAAATTCAACTTCTAGAAGTACCATTTCCGACAGTAGTGAATATAAGCACTCCTACACTGAGTTATACGTAAAGAATATTTGTTCTCTGACTTTGAAAACCTGTGTAAAAAATCCTCTATGGTGTTACCAGCAACAAAATGAAAACTCTATGAAGTCTTCGGCAGAATTTTGGGTAATACCTTCATTTCTTTGGATGAGTTTTATCGTTGGGCCCCTTAAGCAATATTATGGGTTACCAAATAGTGACTGGTAGTGGTCTTATTTCAAAACTAACATCCTAAAAACTACCAAAATGGCTCATTCAATATAACTTGCGTCAGAAAGTGTTTTGTATGCCACCTCCGCTAATAGGAAAGTCCTGTCTCGATCCTTTGATAGGCGAAGACAAATCATATGATTGAAAACGTCTCATTAATTTGACGTTGTTCTTAAATGTTTGCACTGCGTTCCTTTTGAACTAAGATTACTCCAGCCTAACCTTGTGACCCTTGAGTAATATATTGTTTCAGTATAATGAAAATATTCTGCCTAAACACGCAAACCTTAAGATTTTTTCCAGAATTTTCCACTTTCGTTTTCGATCTAATTTAACCTTGCAATATGACACATTTGTTGAACTTAAGAAAGTCGAGAAAAATCAAACATTTCCTTAACTTCTTATTTACAAAACGAAGATGAACAAATTACCAATTTCATGACAGGCTATCGGAAATCACAGAATGCTATGATATGTTTTGAAGTATCTATTTGCTCGCCATTTCGAACGGACAAAGACTACGTTTCCTTTAAAAACCATCGTCATGGATCACATGTAACTCAGTTTAATATGTTTGAGTTGAATCTAGTGGCTTCAAAAGAGAACTTGAGTAATTTGCAAAACAAAGGAAATTCCTGATAAGAGTAGAAGACAATGAATGTTGTTTTGGCTGTTAAAAAATTGATCATTACTCTTATAACCGTTTTCGCGGAAGAATGGTTTTCCCACGCAATTATTTTCTTCACCCCCGGGCCCTAATGCCAACAGCTGGGCAATGACTAAAAAAGAACTTTAATTTTATTCGAGGAAATCAAAATGTTAATACCCCTCTTCACTGAATCTTCATGATAACAAACATCATTATTCTTTGTGTACATTGAGACTTGTTTTAATTTTGAGGTGTAACGTAAACACTAGCACAATTTGAAGTTGTTCGGCTATAAAGGCATTGAGGGCCCAAGCCTTGTTGCGTTATCCCAACTGTTAGGCGTGAAACGGAAACAATATCAAGTGTTGTGCAAGAAAAACAAGTTTCTTAACAACTTACCTGCAACAGAAAATATTTTCTTTTCAGCACCAGCTAAACCGTCTGGAACAGGCATTGTCAATGCTGGCTTCGGTCATGAGTTTTTGCATCGGTAGGGCGCTGCCGATTTCAGCAGGATCGACACAGGTCGCATCAAATTCTTCCGACTTTAGATCAGCCTTTAAGTTTACTATTTTGGCACGCAAACTTATAAACAAACTCACTAGCTGCCTGTCTGGAGTTTCAATGCGGTTAAGCTCTTCTAGAATCCACTTGAGTGCTGTGCTTAGTTCTTCTAGTCTCTCTTTCTTATTTTTGTTCTTTCCCTCTGACTGCAACCTGCTAAGAAGTTGCCGCGCTTGTTCTAACGCGCTTTGCGTGCTGTAGCCAGAAAGCTTTGCCGTGTTCGTGGCGTCAAACGAACGCGTGGGGCTAAACGTTGCTACTGAATATCTGCGCGTATGATTGATTCCTGAGAAACCGTTAAACTTGGGTTGAATGGAAGCTCGGCGGATTGTAACTGCAGCCTTAGAGCTCCCACTTGTGTGGCCTTCAGTTGAATTGCAGTTCGTTACTTCTCCGGACATAGGGTTAAATGTTCGCGCATTACCAAACTGGCTATCACTGTCAGACGATGAGTGATATGAGCTGCTGGAGGATGAGAAAGAGGCCTCGCTGCTTATGTCGCTGTAAGCTTCTTCCATCTCTGAGGAACGGCTAACGTTCTCTTTTACGTCTTCCAATTGCAGTCCCCTTGGTTTACCCGCGCCGTTTACGCCACCGCTCTTAAATCCTTGTGCCTTTGCCACTAATTCCTTCCAACGGTCGTCCTCCTCATTTTCGCTGCCATCAGCACTTTCAAAATCCTGTAGTTTTTTGTCGTCTGGAAAGTCTTCAGTGTTACTTTCCTCCACCGATTCTACGTTCACGCTTCTCCGCGGCTGTGGTAAAACCACGCTGACCTTTCTGAATTCTTTGCACGATGGAACACTGCGAAAGCAACCATCGGAAAATCGGCGGCAATTGAGCGTCGAGACCCTGCTGTTACAATTGTTAACAGTTTGAGCGGATCGATGTTCGTTCGCGCTGTGCTCCTCAGATAAAGTGCTAAACACCATTGCTTTTCTTCCAGAGAAAGGAATAGCTGTAGCCAGTAAACCGTCAGATGAACGACGGCCTTTACCGTAAGGACCGCGGGGCTTAGACCACAAAGGAAATGTAACGCTGCTTGCGCTGGAAGGCGTAACATGTCGAATTGGTTGTTCAATTGTAATTTGAAATTGGGGTCTTTCCATCTCTCTTGCCCCAATTTCCGTTGTCGAGGACCAATTTGACAATGCTTTTCTCTCGTTCTGATAGCAGTCTTGGCTTTCAATTTTAGCTGCGGTCGGAACTCTCTCTCGAACATCAACAAGAGATTGTGAAAATCGTGAAAGATTCAGTTTGACTTGATCCCAATCGTTAACACGTTGTTGACCGTATGACCCGTGAAAGCCCCATTCCTTGTACATTATTTCGTTATCCGAAATCCTTCGGTTCCACAAAGACGGCTCGTAGCTCGTGTCTTTCATAGTGACTGGTCCGCACAACATGACGAACACAAAAGTTTTGGCGCTTGGCAAACAAGCAAGAGCAAACAATCTGTGACGTGGTCGTGTTCCTTATTTAAACTCGTTGTTATTCAAATGGCACTAATTTCCTCCTTGTGGCTTCCTCTCCGCTATATTAGTTAACTACAAAAGTGAAGTGACGTCTGTGTAGTTCTTGATGATGAGGCGAAGCTGTGAGGCATTGTCCATGAGTCATGGTCACTTTGCAAAGTGGAAAGCAATGAACTTCACAGTCACTGTTTTTAATTTGACAGCTCCTAAGTCATTTCGTTATTGTGTGGTTAATAACTTTGTTATTAGTGACACGTCTCTATTCCCCACTGACCTCCTACAACCCCTCCCCGCCATGTGATATGGATTGAATCATATCTTAATGCTAGCCATAAATTGTCTCAGATCTCAATATGGGCCTCCTTTTTCGTCTGGCTAGTATTAGCTGATGGAACGAATTGCTATGCAAATAAACTCTTAGTTTGCACACACTCAAGGGCAGGCGAGAGTGTTCTCTGCCAGGGAGGGGGGAGGACAAAGTGGCAGGGCTTGTCATATTAAACCAGGAAATTTCAACAATGCAACACACTTGAGGAAACATCCGCTGGGTCAACTGATTTTTGTTTGGTAATTTGAACAGTACACTGTCACTGGATTCGTAGAATCCAAAACTCGGGAACGTAACCAAAATAACAGTCATACTTATTCTCAAATAAGGCCTTCACTTTGTTCAGATTGGTTTCAAATAGCAAAAACACTCGAAAATTTTAAAATTGCTAGCATAGTTTTGAAGATTTTCTAATCACTTGGTAAACATGTTTGTCCGCTTGATCAACAACACTGACATCTAAATCCCATTGAACGCACTTTAATTAAGTTGGGGTCTTCTGTTAATCTTCCCAAAGAAGCTCACACCTAAGGAACTGATCCTAAATAGATGCCATTAATTCCAAAGAAATTTGTTCTTTCAAGCTTTCAGCCAGCAGAGGAAGTTAAAAGTAGCACACTGATTTTGTTGATGAAATTTTATTCTCTCTTATCTATCACTAAACAATTTTTATGAAGCCTCATCAGATTGTTTCTGTTTTTCTCTGGTTAATAACAACACTGCCTAATTGGACTGAATATTCTGAAATTGAAAAGAGGTAGTCCACATTCTGCAGCGCCGAGACAAAGAGCGTTAAATACTCCCAAAGGCGACAAATTCCGCTAAAACCTAATTCTTACACGTAATAACTTAAACTCTTGTCAGTTTTGCTTAAAATGTAAGGAATGTACTAGAGTTTAATATAATATCAATACCAGTTGTCCCTTGTATGTACATTCTATTTGTAAACGATTTGCAGCTAATGAGGTTCTCACATCACGTGATACTAAGAGGATTAAGTTTTTGGGAAGAAAGTGAAAGTAGTACACAGTTTGTCATGGTCAGTTATAGCACTAGTGAGCTATTGTTATAATCACGATTGTGGAAGTGCCCGGTGGGGGGGGGGCTACCTTATACTACAGCCCAAAAGGGTATGGGTTTTTGAGCCGTTTTGGTCTGAAAACGGGTGTAGACTTTGCCCATTTTGGTCTGGAATCGGCGGGTATGGTTTTTAAGGGAACTATGGGAGTGGATGAACGTATTTATCGCTTCAATTCCATAAGAAGAAGAAAGAAAGAGAACTATGCGAATTCGAAATGGATTTTAAAAAATCTTGTTAAGTTGTTGCTGTTCTAATGACATTTTTTGTCTGAAATGGGGTCAGGATTTGGAGAACCGGGCGGCACATCCCCACCAAGTATTCCCAGGTTCACCCCCCGGGTCAAAATGTTAGAACACTATTGGAAAATACGTGAGATGTTTGTGGCATAAACAAAAAGCTTGGCCGACAATGGCCTTCAATGATGTTTTAAAAATCTAGTCCATTTTCTTTGCGTGGTAGACACAGCCAATATTACAAGAAAGGAAAATCAAGGGTAGCATAATCAGAATTCTTACCAAACACTTACAGTGTCTGATTTAAAGGAGCGGAGACAAAAGCCTGATTATGCATAGACACCGAAGCGATTCCAGGATTCTGTCGGATTTTGAAGGTAAAAGCAGACATACCGTGTGAACTGGCCCAGAATAATCGCCTTAAATCTGCAATAGTCTAAAATAAGAAGTTATCAATAAGACCTCAAGGCAATTTTTCGCTCAAGATACTCGCCCACCAAGAAAAAAAGAATATAAATAAATATAAACTTAACAAGATGCCGGTCCCACCATTTCTAGTTTGAAATAAATGCCAGGTCAGGGCGTTTGACGGAGAGAAAATAGTAACCGATCTTAAGATATAACTCTCACACTTCGATACTTCCGCAAACAGAGCTCATCTTTCAGACTTTTCTAGCATTCTGGACGTGTTCTTTGGGAAACTAAATTAACTGTTTCGGGCCTGCATCCTGTTGCATGTTCGGTTGTATACTCGGTTGTGTTACATGTAATTGTAAGCTGACTTTAATAGTATCATAATAGTTAAGGATAGCCTGCGAGAAAGCTCTACGGGGCGCTCTATGTCTCAAAAGTAGCAAAAGGTTTTTAACTTTTGAAAATCAGTGTGCAAATAGTTAAAGAGGAAGAAGAATTGAAACGGCGGTAACGAAACGGGACGAAATACGAACTTCCCTTAAAACCCCTGGGTACGCGGGACGCCTGCGTACGTGGGAGGCTAAGGAAATCAGAGGTCGAGGAAAGAGAAGAAAGGGCAAGAAGATGGTGTCATAACTATCTATTTTTAATGTCTCTACTTCTAGTTTCTAATGATATTAACCATCACAGAAATTTCAATGGAAAATCACGTGTCACTCGTTGTGAAAATAGTAAATCACGCATCACGCGGCCAATTTGGGTCCCCTCACGCGTCAGGGAAAACCCCTTTGCCACCCCTGACTTTGAGATTTGAATTTTATCGAAGCAAATTGGGCACAGAGGTACCGTGAAAAATCAAAGCTCAAAGCTCCCGTTATCGACCACCTCGGAAATCTATATGCTTAAATTACATCGTCTACGATAAACGAGCTGGTCGCGTTTACGATAATAATGGGCTCTCGTAAGTCACCGTACATGAGATACACTTATCGAGGGCGGTAGAGCAAAAAGCTTGTGGTTCATGGTGACAATTATTACCAATGCATTCATGTGAAGTATTATTGAATACATAGTTTCCTATTTATTACTAACACATTAGAAGCTAGCTAACCTCTGCGCTTATAGTAGGCATTACTCAAAATTTAATCGAGAAGTTAATGCTTTTATTCAAGGGCTGATTGAGTGCTTGATTAGGGAACTTATAAACAGGGGAATAGACCAGTCGGTGATTGACAAAAGTGGTCGCAGTCGTTCACGAGAACATCCGCATTGCTCGGCTGTTTGGTAGCTTAGTCAAAGTTCGAGCGCGGTTGACCATAACTCTGAGTCGAGCTACTGAGTCCCTGACGACAGCGGCCAATCTTAGTTCGAATGGAGTCTCAGTGAAAAAGCTAGAGTTTCACGAGTTTTTCACCGTTCCTCTTGACGTAGCCTCAGTCAAATACGCTCCCTCTTCAACTACTTCTTCCCATTGCTTTATTTCGTCAACTGATTTGTTTGATATTTAGATTGGTCAGTAGCTTTGTATTGTTAAGAACTTCTCGAGATTGAAAGTCCTTTTTTGGCCGCATAATTACTTGAAAAGTGCTGCGAATGACGCCCTAAGGACTCGACACTTAACGCCGTGTACAAGTGTTCCCAATATACTAATTTCCGTCCTCCTTTTTAATGTCAACAGCGAGGAAATCCGGCTTTTAACAAACATGACTTGACTGCCAAAAATTGGAATTGTCTTAAAGCTACAGTGAACATGCACAGCTGTGGTTCCAAACTGACTTCAGTTGGTGTATTTGTTTGTTTGTTTGTTTCACAGTTTAACTTGGTTCTCAGAGTCTTGAAGCTCCACAGTGAAAATATTACATGTTCTCTCGGCATTACGAAAGCTTCATTAGTCCCACTGATATCAAATCCATGTTCTCCACACTACTGTATTTGTTTGGTTTAAATTTTATTTTTTTGTTTCAAACTCATTATAATATATATCACTGATATCAAAAAACACCACATATATGTTGCAGTTAAATTTTTATCTCAGGTAATTTTTATTTTTCTTTTGTTTTTAGGTATGGTAATGTATGCTAATGAGGTTGAAACAAAGGAAAAATAAAAATTATCTGAGATAAAAAATTAACTACAACATATACATACATCTGTATGCATTTTATCTCAGTTGATCGGTTCAGCCTGTTCCTTAGGTATGACCTCTGTGCTTTCTGTTCTTTAGAGTGGAGGCGAGTTCCCGAAATTAAACGGCTGCAACACTGGTTCTGGCCAAATTGATGTACTGACTGACGCGTGTTGCATATAGTATAGTCAGTGAACGTTTAGCTAGTATAGTATGTTTTGGTTAGAGCAGGTAAGGGACTCTCTCAGACATTAGGATTTCAAGGAGCATAGCAGGAGGGTCACCCGAGGGCCATTTTGTAAGCGCGAATAATATTAACGTATCAGATGTATAACTTAGATGAACCTTTGAAAATTCGAACTGCATTTCCCCTCTCCTCCCACGCAGAGTATCCAGGCTTCCCTTATCACGTGTGCGGCATGTGGTGCACCAATAAGTTAAGAGGGCTTGAGCGCCGGACGTGAAGTGCATGACGACGATTTATGAATACCGCTGATTTGATATTCCCCATTGCCTCATTGACGTTCATGAATCTATTTTATACTGGCAGTTTCATAGCTGAGAAGAACCATCTATAGTTAGGTGGGAAACACTCTAAAGCCGAGATCTCGTCCATTAAAAAAACTAATGCCACCAAATCATCAATGCCGCAAAGACAGCATAATAAAAGGGAAATCCAAAACGTCCATCATGTACAACTTGGAAGTTCGTCATGATAGTTCCTCTACA